CCAAAGAAGATATATGAATGATCAATAAGCACATGAAGAGATGTTCAACATCACTAATCATTAGGGAAATGCAAATCAAAACTACAGTGGGATACCACCTCACACCCGTTAGGATGGCTACTATCAAAAAAGCAAAACTACCAAGTGTTGGTGAGGATGTGGACAAATTGGAGCCCTGTGCACTGTCAGTGGGAATATAAAATGGTGCAGCCACTGTGGAAAACAGTATGGCGGTTCCTCAAAAAATTAAAAATAGAATTACCATATGATCCAGCAATTTCACTTCTGGATATATACACCAAAGAATTGAAAACAGGATCTCGAAGAGATACTTGTCCACCCTTGTTCAAAGCAGCATTATTCACAATAACTAAAATGTGGAAGCAACCCAGGTGTTCATGAATAGATGAATGGATAAGCAAAATATGCTATATATATATATATATATATACACAATGGAATATTATTCAGCCTTAAAAAGGAAGGAAATTCTGCAGTGTGCTACAATATGGATGAACCTTGAGAACATTATGGTAAGTGAAACAAGCCAGTCACAAAAAGACAAATACTGTATGATTCCACTTAATGAGGTAGTTAGACTTGTCAGAATCATAGACAGAAAGTGTAATGGTATTAGCCAAGGGCTGACGGGGGCAGAGAATGAGCAGTTGTTGTTTAATAGGTATAAGGTTTCAGTTTTACAAGATGAAAAGAGTTATAGAGATGGATGGTAGTGATGGTTGCACAACAATGTGAATGTGTTTAATACCATTAAACTGTACACTTAAAAATGGTTACAGTGGGGGGCCAGCCCCATGGCCAAGTGGTTAAGTTCACGCGCTCCTGTTCAGTGGCCCAGAGTGTCACCAATTCGGATCCTGGGCGCAGACCTAGCACTGCTCATCAAGCCATACTGAGGCAGCATCACATGTAGCAGAACTAGAAGGACCTACAACTAGAATATACAGCTATGTACTGGGGGGACTTTGGGGAGAAGAAGAAGAAGAAAGAAAACAAAGAAGCTTGGCAACAGATGTTAGCTCAGGTGCCAATCTTTAAAAAAAAAAAAATGGTTACAATGGTAAATTTTATGTTATGTGTATTTTACCACAGTAATAATAATAAAAAAAACGTTAATGCCCTAGAGGGCAATGAAACCATGACATTTGGGGTTACCTTTCCTAAAAGGAGAGGAATCGTTTGTACCTAAATAGTCTCCTGCAAGGGAGCATGCAGTTCAGAGTCCACGTCCTAATTGAGAGCAAATAATGAGTCAAACAAAGTCATCTTCCCCTGGGGTGCTGGATGCCCCTAGGCAGACTTGCAATAGAGCATGCTCGAGAGAATTTGAACACCCAAGTCATCTTTTGTCTCACTAATAAAGGTTTGATAAACAGTGCTGCTTTAGATAAGACACCAATGAAGTCATGTAATTTTATGAAACGCTAAGAGTAATTCATAGAATTCATTTTTTTTTTTCACTCATTGATTCAACAAATATTTGTTAAGCACTTACCGTGTGGCTGGCCACGTTCTAGTTGTTGAGGATACAGCAAGAGAAAAACCAAACCAAACAAATGCAAAGTTCCTGCTCTTGTGAAACTTGCAAACTACTGTGAAGTCATGTTCAGTGTAAAAGGATGGAGGCTGTCCTCAAACCACGGTTAGGTATCATAAGAAACCAGCCATGAGCCCCCAGATCAAGAACCCCAACCCACTGTCCTGCTGAGACTTGCGCAAAGCCCGACATTGGCCAGGGGAGCACACATCTGAGAAGGTGGGTTCAATTCCTTGTTGTGTGCTACATGCCACTTTTTTTAATCCTACACAAGGAGGGCCAACAAGTGACAAATTATTATAGGAATAACTCAGCTTTTTTTTCTTTTTAAAGAAATATAATTATCAAAAGGAAAGTTAGAATGACCCTAAATGTTATAGTACACACATATAGTTAGAAACAGTTAAAAATTGGAAATAGGAACTGACAGGAAATTGCAGGAAAGTGTAACCATTTTAGTCAGTGCATTCCTTTTCATTTAATCTTAAGAAGACTGCTGTTGCCATCCAGTTGTACCACCCATTGTAGTAGAGGAATGATTTTGGATTTAACTCCCCAGGTCAAAAGAGGTTGCCTGTGCTTAACTTTCATCACAGACTTATATTACCCATCTCTATTAAAAAGAATAATGCATGGGGCCGGCTCCGTGGCTGAGTGGTTAAGTTCGTGCACTCCGCTGCTGCGGCCCAGGGTTCGGATCCTGGGCGCGGATATGGCACCACCCATCAGGCCACGTTGAGGCAGCGTCCCACATCCCACAACTAGAAGGACCTGCAACTAAGATATACAACTGTGTACGGGGGGGGTTGGGGAGATAAAGCAGAAAAAAATATACATAAAAAAGAAACACTAATTTAAAAAAAAAAGAATAATGCAAGTGGAGGGTGGCAGTAAGTGTCAACAATTTGTGAGCAAGAACTCAATCAAGAGGCTCCTGTGAAGCCAATTTGTCAAAATCTTTCAGTCTGAAGATGTGCAGGATAACCTAGCGTAGTAGACACTGTGGTGTGCCATGCACATCCCCTCTCAGGGCCAACGGCCTCATCCCCCACTGCTGAGGATTCACAGCTGTGACCCTCACAGCGCATTGCCCTCAGACACGTGGAGCTGCCTCTTCAGAGGCTACACTCTCCCAGGTCAATGACTGGCTGATGCAGGGACACAAAGACAGACACTGATTTCAGTTTCAAGTGTAGTTATCCCGAGGAAGAGGAGGAGAAGGATGAGGGGGGGAATAGGCACGTAGATAGCCTCAGTGGGATCTGTAATATTTAATTCCTTAAAAAAATTTAAAAAGGATCTGAAGCAAATATGGTATAATGTTAAGGTTTGATAAAGTCAGATACATAAACATTCTTTATGTTATTCTCTATTCTTACCTGTATGTTTGAAATGCATCATAGTATCATAATAAAAAAGAACCAATGAATGTGGGGGCTGAATGGGCATCTTTGTACTTGTTTTATTCCTTTTCTTGTCTCTGGGCAGGGTCCAGACTAGGAGAATGGTGTTTGCTGAGCACCCCTATAATGCCAGGCACTGTGCTGGGCGCTTTCTGTAATTTGGAATATGAATTAACTTACGTGTTAGACAGGCCTTTATTCTTTTTCAAGGATCTTTCTAAAGATATCACATTAGTACCAGGTTCCATTCACATTCATGTCATTAGATTTCATTCTAATTTCCAACTTGTGGCCTTCTTGCTGCACTTAAACACGTTTCCTCAACGTGGCATTCAAATCAAGGCAAAGCCTTTTCTGAATTCTGACTGAGAACTTCGAGCACTCCTTCCCAAGCTTACCTGAGCTCCCCAGGATGCACATGAGCTGCCCACTCTCCACGTACAAGGAGACATCTTTGAGGACCTGCTTGTTCCACCGCTGCCTGCGAGATGCAATGTCCCACCAGGGCCCAACGCGACAGCTTTAAAGGAAACCCCGCAAGGGGAAAGGCAGTGTGGGTCCTGGAAGGAGAGACCCTTGTCCCCCAGCACTGATCCCAGCTCTGCTCCACCCCAGTTGTCTCAGGACAGGTTCCTGAGTGCGTTTTAGCCTCAGTGTCCTCCTCTGCAGAGCCGGCGGGTAGTGATGGAAGAAGATCATCTATGTAAAGCCCCTGCCTTGTGGCTTCTCTGAATGCCAGCTCTCTTTGGCTGCCTAGGAGATGACAAAAAAGACACTGCTGGGGCCAGACCCGTGGCCAAGTAGTTAAGTTCCCACGCTCTGTTTCTGCAGCCCGGGGTTCGCTGGTTTGCATCCTGGACAGGGACATACACACAGCTTATCAAGCCATGTTGTGGCAGCGTCCCACATAGAAGAACTAGAATGACCTACAACTAGGATATAGAACTATGTGCTGGGGCTCTGGGGAGAGAGAGAAAAAAAAGAAGATTGGCAAAAGATGTTAGCTCAGGGCCAATCTTCCTCACCAAAAAGAAAAGAAAAGAAAAGAAAAAGACATGGTTAATTCCTTCCGTTGACCCATTGACTATTCATTCCTGAATCCAGGTTTCATTACACCTTGTGTTGCAGGCACCCCCATTCCCCAAGCCCTCTCCATCCACCTAGGGCAGGCGGTACATGAGGGGAACACACTGGGAAGGGGGATGGGGCAGAGCACAGCTGCCACCCTTGTCACAGTTTCCTCGTCCTGCTGTGGGCAGGGGGAGGGGCCCTTCACCGTTGCTCCTCATTTCCCACTGGCAGCCCTTCCCCTCTCCACTCTCCACCTCCATCCACTAAAGAGGGATCCCATAGCCTCCGTGCATGCCCCCATTCGTGAGGACAGCCAGCAGAGGGGGTGAGAGGCCCACCCACCTGGGGCCAGGCCTGTCCCTGACCACAGCTCAAGGCTCCCGCAGGCAGGAGAGGCTGCAGCCTTACCTGACGCTGTAGGAGGCGTGCAGAATGCCCAGGCTGTGTCCGGGCTTTGAAGCAGCTGCAGGAACCTCCTCTGAGGAGCGCCGGGAGCCTCTGTGTGCTGGGCGTCCCAAGGACCCCGTGGGAGTCAGAAATGAGAGTTCACTCATGGCCACCAGGCAGCAAAGACAGGCAAACGCTTGGGTGCCTGACTTTCCCCGGGGAAGCCGGCCGGGAAGCTAGAAGCAGACTGCCCCACCTGCTCCTCCTCAGGCCCTTCCAGCAGCGGGGCTGGGGTTTGGCCGCAGATGCCATTATCTGATGTACCTTTAGCCGGAACATGCGTATTACCTGGACAGGGACAGAACACACAGCCTGCGTTTGCAGGAGGGTGTGCCAGAGAGGATTCTGGGAGACAGACAGTGGCCCCAGTGAACGAGGGCCAGAGGTTGGCCAGCTCCGGGAAACAGAAAATATTGGCACTGACGGGCAGCAGCTAATGTCCAAAGGAACTGCAACAAAGGGGCACAGACACAGCTGGCCCCATGGCGGGGCACAGACACAGCTGGCCCCATGGCGGGGCACAGACACAGCTGGCCCCATGGCGGGGCAGGCCCCCGAGAAGAGAGGGCTGCGGGATTCCCAGGATGCTTCCGTAAGTGGCGGGGAGTTGTCTGAATCCTGGTGGATGGGGGCAAATCCACCCTCTCTTTCCTCCCTCAGGAGCTTTCTGTCCTAATGTACCACCAGGACCACGAGCAGAGTGAGAACGAGGCAGCAGGACTCCATTTTAGGGGCATGAGAGGGCTGAGGGCAGTGGATTCAGGGGTCAGGAGTTGGTGGGGGCCTCTGCTGTCACTTCTCATCCTGAGGCGCACTCCTGAAGGGAAATGATGTGCTTGCTTGTGACTTGGGCTCATGTGGCTTTTTCCAAATGAGACTCTACCACAGAAATGTGCACACTCATACCAGGAACTCTGCGGTGTCTCCTTTGTCCATCTGGCTGTCAAGCTCAGAGTCTCCAGTGGCAGTAAACTGATGAGACAGGATGGCAAGTGACTTTTGTGGGAACGTCAGAATTTATGCTCGTAATATGGCTGCAGCAGACAGTGGTAAGATCCCAGAGAGAGCTGGAAGGCACAGACGACAGCCAGAGGTCAGGAGGTTGGGGTACAGGGTTTCTGTCCTCATTTTACATTAGAAGTGTTTGCTTGAGAAATGGCCTTTGACTGAAATCGAGGTGTGGGCGGGATTTGAAGCCGGAGGTTAAGTTGGAAGGTAGAAAGGAGGCAGCGCCCTACCCTCCACCCTGCCTCATCCCACCCCTCCTTTCTGTCCTTTCCTGCTGTGGAGAGGAGGAGAGAGAGAAAGACAAGAGTGACTGAGGACTCCACACCCCACACGGAAGGCCACAGGCCACCTGGACTGGTCTTGAGTTGCTAGGACCTGACTTCAGCCAGGCCCGAGGAACCCACTGTTCCTAGTCAACTCTGCAGCCTCTGCAAATGACCAGCTCTGCTCTGGGAATATCCCACAGGGCCAATCCCTGACGAGAAATGACTCCTACGAGCCATGACTGCAATGCTTACAGCCTGAATAAGATATAAATCAGTGGAGGCTTTGGGGACACTTTCTGCCTAGAAAGTCTGACAATTCAGCCACCACAGTTTAGGGGGAAAGAATTGCCCAAACCTGACATCCAGGAATGTGTGCAGAAATGCCTGCGTTTCCAGTTTCTTTTTCTTCAATCCCATTAACTCAAGATACCAAGTGACAGTCTGCCCCTAACATTTATGGCTCCTGAAAGGAAGGGATGAAGGCTACATATCATATGTCTAGATATTTTAAAGTTATCAATCGAACTGTTAAATAAAATAGTTTTTATCCTTTTACCTTGACATACCTTCCTCACAACCTAGAAGTCTGGGTGTAAATTTAGAAATTCCAGGATGGCACTAGAATGCGGCAGCATGAGGGAGCCAGCTTCCAGCCCAAGCCACAGCCTGTCCCCCTTCTCTGCCCACCCCCAGCTCCACATGTGACCTCATACACCCCTACATGGTCACTCCACCCTGCCCACCCACATTCCATCCACACCCTCCACAGACAAATGCCCCTCTAGCCTGGGGTGCCCAGTCAGGCAGTACTGTCATTACTCAGGATAATGGGCCTGGGACAAGGTTCACGTAGGCCCTGGCAGTGGGCTTGTGGCCATTTGCACGGGAAATTCTGGGGTCCTGGGTGTCTGGAATGGCAAGTGCTCTTGGCCAACAGAACCCTCAGTCCATGGGCGGGAGCGTGGCCAGAGGAGGATGAGAGGGCCCAGGCCTCAGGAGACCTGTGTGAGGTCTGCTCTGAACATTCGAGTAAAGCCCTGGGCTCTCCCCTCAGTCAGGAACAAGCCCTGTGTGCTCCCCAGGCAGGAGTCCTCAGCACACTACTACTTCTCCAGGGCACGAGCTCCTCATCTTAGAACAAGGAGCTCGGGCTCTGTGCTCCCTGAGTCTCCTTCTACTCTAGGCTTCTGATTCAGGAATTTGATCCGAAGTTAATACAAGGAGAAATTACAGTGTAGCCCAGCAGGAGCCGAGCTGGTTACCTACAAATAAACCTGCTTTTGCTTTTTTGGGTGTCACCTGTCAGAAATTCAAGTGATGTTCTGACAGTCGTACTGATTAAGATGTCAGCCGAATAGATATTTAAGTATTTGAAAAATACAGAGAGTTTGTCAAAACCTCAGGAAGAGTCTAACAAATCCTTTCTGGGAGCCAAGGAAAATATTTCAAAATGGAATGGAGGCTGTCCCCAACCCAGTCAAGAATTCTCTTCTTCTGAAAATCAAGCTGTCTGTGCAGCCTCTGGAAGGCACCATGCCTTGATGGCAATTGGGGTCCCAGGCTGGCCTGCACCTGCCTGCTTAGCCCAGGGTGAGGGGGTCCGGGGGAGCCAAGGAGCCGAGAGCATGCGCCTCTCTCCTTCCTTTTATCTGTCTTCCCCGTTCTGACACCTCTTTCCCCTGGGTCCCAGCACCTTCCACCTTCTCAGAGCTCCTGCCTGAAAAGTGGAACCTACCTGGGCTTGAGGTTACCTTCACATATTGCTCCAGACTCCAAAATGTCCAACCTTCCTTCCTCAGCAACCCCTCCACCCCACAATCTAACCTGGGGAGCTTTTGGCTGGGTGCTTGTTCACAAAAGCAATGTCTGAGCTAACTCATCGCTTATACCAATAGGCTAATATCCCTCCTGCAGATATTTGCTCTTTAAAAGCAAACAAGCAGGATGCACGTTAGCCCAAATGAGTCTCTCAGCAATTGATAGAATTTCTGATAGTTTAACAAAATTAGATGGAAAAACTAGGCGGTGTGTGTGCTGATGGGGGAGGTGGTGAGTGAGGGTCAGGGCCGCAGGGCTGCGTCCAGCAGCTTTCTGAGCTACTCTGGCTCTCCCCAGGAGCTTCGTGCTGCATCTCTGAGGGCACAAACCCTCTCACCTCCTCCACCTCCACCTCTGGCTCCTGCCTTGGAGGCACTGGCAGCTGGGGGTCAAGGTGGGAGCAGAACTCCGGAGTTCTACTCAGGCTCGCTCTCTCAATTGGAAAACATTTGGAAATATTTCAGACAAATCCGTTTAAAGAAGAGTGAGCTCCCATGTACCCCTTGCTGTCGTGTCTCCCAGCAGGGCCTCCAGGACAGCTTGTTCTCCTCTGAAAGTGACAACAGCCTGTACTTCACCTACAGCGGCCAGTCCAACACCTTGGAGGTCCGAGACCTCAGCTGCCAGGTAAGGGCATACCTGAGCACAAGGTGGGAGGAGTGGGCAGGGAAAGCCGAACAATTCCCCAAGTGGAAGGGACCCTCTACTGCAAGGAAAGTGTCCAGACCACACGGAGGCCTCACGAGTTGGGTGCAAGCTTTGGGGCTTCCCTCCAGTAGAGCTCCTGGCTCCAGAGAACTTCAACTGCAGGCTGGAGGTTGAGAGGCATAAAAAGAGAACGAGATCTTTATTAAAACATAAAATAAACTGTGTGAACCTGTGGGGAAAAAAATCTCTAAAACTTTCTTTTAACTTTATATTTTGAAATAGTTTTAGACTTTTAAAAAGTTGCAAAAATGGTACAAAATTCCCATCTATCCTTTGTCCAGCTTCCCTTCATGTTAACATCTTGCCTACCCGTGGTAAAATTTTCCAAACTAAGAAATTAACAATGGCATGATACTATTAACTAAACTACAGACTTTTTTCAGATTTCATCAGTTCTTATGGTTTTGTTTTTTTCATGAAATGTGCTTTTCCTAGAGCTAGGAAAACATCCAGAGTACAAGGACCACTGGCCTCTCAGGGGTTCTCAGGAATCCCCTGGTCAGATTGAAAGACCCCCGTTTCCTACACCTCCCAGGGGCAGACCCCACGTGGCCCAGAGGGAACCTAGCGGGGCCTGGGATGGTGAATGTCAGAGGCCCATGTCTGGCTTCCTATGGCTGTGAGTTAGGACAAGCTAATGAGCTGCACCCTAACCTTTCTCTGCTCTACCACTTACTAGCTGTGTGATCTTGAGCAAGTTATTTAACTGCTCTGAACCTCATCTGTAAAACAAGGATTGTAATAGTATGTATGTTATAGGTTTGCAATGGGGGTTGAATGAGATAATGGATATAAAGAGATTTACACAATGCCTTGCACATTCGATAAATTATTAGTAAATTATTGTTATTATTAAGCGAAAACATTGTTTTGCTTCATGTCATATTTTTATTTTTTTTCTGCTATTGCATGTGCTTTCCATGTCTTATCTTCAGGCTTGGAAACGGCAGGTTCTCAACATGGTGGGGTCCACCTCCATGTTTGATAGAACCTTGAGAAGGGTGGCTCTCAGGCCTGTTGTGTACAGCAGGAGGATATCTCCTGTACGGAGCTGAACAGAAGTTGCTGCAGCCCTCTGAGCCATTAATATCACAGAACTGAGGAACAGTCTAATATCTCCCCACAGGTGGACATGGCCTCCCAGGTGCCTTGGTATGAGCAGCTGGCTCAGTTCAAGATACCTTGGATATCTCACGAGGACTCTTGTGAGCTGGGCATCCAGAACCTGAACTTCAAAGTGAGGAGTGGGCAGATGCTGGCCATCATAGGGAGCTCAGGTACCACCAAGGGCAAATAGTGGGGTAGTGGGTTCTCTCTCTCCTGGGTTACAGAATGGTCCCTCGGACAAAGGGATGCTTCTTACAGGTCTCTTGGCTGAATAGTAGAATAGTATAGCAGAGGGGTTGAGAGCTCAGGTTCCAGGTCAGACAGAGCTGTGTTGGAATCTTAGCTCCTCCATTTACTAGCTCTCAGGGAGTGGCTGTTAGGAATCATGGGGTTGCCTCTTGAAGCTACAGCCAGAGATTCTGTCCCTAGTTAACGCCTGCATTTAGACAAGGCAAGATCATCAGGCAGCTTCAGAATTGAGTGCTCTTCTCCGGTGTCTCCTCCACCACAAGGAGCACTCATTCATTGTCCCCCCACATCAGATTCCCCGCTATGGTCAGGCCACTGCCACTTCTCAGATGGCCCCTCCAAGTCTAAGCACAACTTCCAACCTTTGGCACAGCTCCAGATTCTCGGAGTGCCTCCTTGTGTCACAGGCTAAACTTAAACCTATAGAACACCAGAGCTGAAAGGGGGCCTGGGGAACACAGTTCATTCTTCATTATATTCTGCCTTGCTCTTCTCCTTACCAGTTTGGAAGCATATTTAGAGGAGGGTTTTTAAATTATTTGATCCTCAATATTTCTAGATGTCCTCCTGCCCCTACACACACACACACACACACACACACACACACACACTCACTCCTTACTTTGACATATGAGGAGATTGAAATCTAGAGAAGTTGAGAGTTTCACCTAAGGACATATATTTAGTGTGGAGCTAGAACAAGAACTTGGGTCTCCTGCTTCTCAGATCAAGGCGTTTCTCCCTTGCATAGCATTAGAGAGAGCACTTTATACCTTTTCATTAATCATTTCCAGAAGGACAGATTGCTTAACTTTTTAAATATCTGCTCCAATTTTTACAGTCTTCTAATAGGGAAGTTCTGTTTATTGTCTAACCAAAGATCAAAGGAGATCACGTATGTAAATGCACTTTGTAACTGAAACGTCGCCCACAAGTCAAGTTACACCCACTTCTGGCCCCGCTTCTGCAATTCCAACCTAAACAGGAAAAAAGGAGGTACTTCCTAGGTCAATTTTATTTTCGTTTGTGGAAAGCCACCTTGTTGTATCTGCTTTCTCTTTGTGAACTGAGAGTCTGAGGGACACGTGGGCCCTTACCAGGTGCTCCCACAAAGCCTTGGACCCATCACGGTTAGTCCGCGTGGCATACAACCCTGTAGCTGTTAGCATCCCTGACCTGTGATGGAGGAAGGTGACGTTCAGAGAGGCTAAGCAGGAATTACATGGAGCAGTCTCCAGGCCTTTGCCCTTTTGACTCTAGGTTTGGTGTTGTTTAGCTTCAGGTTTGCTTGGCTGAAATTATTAAAAGGTTTATCAGTAATACTTCCTGTGACTTTTACTCCACTCACCAAAAAGAAAAAAAAAGAGAGAATGTTGGTCATAATTTTTAAAAAATAAACTAAAACAGCCCCAGGCCTTTTAGCTTCTTCTGTAGAATCAGCACGGCCAAAAGTGTTTTCCAAGGAACCAATTTACTGATTTGGAGATTCCCGCCATTTTGTAAGGGTCTTGAGTGCCTGCGAGTGTTTTCTCCTGGTTTGTGGAGGGTCTCCCCACTCACACCAGGCAGCTTCCGCTGGAAAGGCCACCTCTCACAAAGTTTTGTTTAGGAAATACGGCCTTCCCCCTCCCTGACTGGGAATCCCACCAGGATTTGGCACGTTGGCAAACTCTCCTGTGCTCCCAGAACCTGGCTCCACGTCGGAGGCTGAGCAGGGAGCAGGGCCAGAGCCCTCCCCTCTGGTTTCTCTCCTGGCTGTTTTGCTCCACCTAAGTTCTCAGGGACCTCGAATGAGGTGCACCCAGGAGGCAGCGTGCAGGTGCCTGTCCACCCTGAGAGCCACTAGTCTGTAAGCAGAAGGACCACTGGGGAGCCTTCCTTATTTTGGTTCTTGCACTGGGGGCATGGGGCTGCCTGCAGGAGGCGCATGCCGTGTGCAAGGAGGAGGTGTTATATTTGTGTATTGACACTTTCCTTGTTTGGAAACGACTGGGAAAATTTGCTCTCCAAAAGGGATTTACAGTAAGGAAAGCGAAACCCCACCTCGGGGATTGGAGAGAGCTCATTTGCAAGAAGGTGTTCTCAGGGCCTGAGACCTATTTGCATTCGCAGCTTCAATGGTTGTCAAAGAGTCTCAAAGCTTTTGTAAACCTGATCCAATCCAACGCTTACTTCCCCAAATCCATAGCAATCGCCAGGTCACTCAGGAGTGGATGGTGTTAATTTGTGAGCCATGGATCTTTTTTTTTAGAGAAAGTAAAAAGCAGCACTGATAAAAATAAGAGAGTGTAGAGGATGCAGAGAAACTCAGAACACATGTGTACACTAGGCTGTAGTTTTACAATCATTTCCACATCCATTACTTCTCTATTTTTTTCTCCCTTATTTCTGAAAATAGTTTCCAGTTTTGCATTTTTAAAAGACACCCTATTAATTCTCCAAATTAGGCCACCCACAAAGCCAGCTTCTGAGCCAAACGACGACGTTGAATGATGAAACATTGCTGGCGTGTTTGCCAACCAAAAATAGTTAAGCTTCGCGGTGCCATTAATGCCAGCCTTGCTCCACGGAGGGGCCAAACATTCTAGGCACAGGCAGGGCTGTGGCAGCCACGACTCCAGCTTTCCCCGTCATGGAGCCACTGATTGACCTGGCCTGAACCCCCAACATCAATGTCTCCAGCCCCCCAAGAGCGCTCAAGTTGACTGCAGGTGAAAGGCTGGAGCTTCAGGTGCTGGGGCTGCGCCATCCGCGTCTGAGAGCTGTGCCACTTTCCCTAGGGGCTGGTCGCTGCTGCAAGGACAGAGCAGTCCAGAGGGGCTGGAGAGTGTGCGGGCAGCAGTGGCTTCCAGGCTGGGCCCCGCGGAAGCTCTGCTTTCAGGGATGTCTCTGGTGGCTTCACAGGCTGTGGGAGAGCCTCTTTGCTGGACGTAATCACCGGGCGAGGCCATGGCGGCAAGATTAAGTCAGGCCAAGTCTGGATCAACGGGCAGCCCAGCACACCTCAGCTGGTGAGGAAGAGTGTGGCTCACGTGCGCCAGCACGACCAGCTGCTCCCGAATCTGACCGTCCGCGAGACCCTGGCTTTTGTTGCCCAGCTGCGCCTGCCCACAACCTTCTCCCAGGCCCAACGTGACAAAAGGGTAACTACTTGACCCTGGTGACCCCAAGAAACCATGACATCCTTCCCCTCCCGTCTCTCCCTCCCTGTCTCAGTGCCCGGCCACAGGTGGAGTTTGAGTAACCCAGCTCACCAGCTGTCCACCCACAAAAGCCCACCATATGCTCAACCCCGCCCTGTAGCCCCCCCTCAGAACCCCACAGCCCTCTGTAAGCCATCTCAGCCCTAGCCGGTCCCTTCATGGCACAGGACAACATGTGTGATGAGTATTTGTTTACTTGTTTTCTGGTCCCCCATGTGGGCAGGGAGCCCAATTGTCTTGTCCCCAGGACCTGACCGCATTACCTGCACAGGGTGCGATGCCCTGCACGTGGGCGCTGCTCAGTATGTGCAAGCATGAGGGAGCAAACCTTGCATCAGAGAAATGAAGGCCGGACCTTTAAACCCATCTGGAGCAGCAGGCGTTTTTTTGTACTTTTGGGACAAAATCTGTCTGGCCCTGGCCAAGGCCCTGAGCTAAGGCTCCTCTCGTCCCCAGGTGGAGGATGTGATCGCTGAGCTGCGGCTGCGGCAGTGTGCCGACACACGCGTGGGCAACAAGTACGTGCGGGGGGTGTCGGGGGGTGAGCGGCGGAGAGTCAGCATTGGGGTGCAGCTTCTGTGGAACCCAGGTGAGGGCATGAGGGGCTTGTGTCACCCCCCTGGCTTGGCCCGGTCCAGCCAGAGTCCTGCCGACTTACCAGGCTCCTCTGTCCTGGGAAGGAATCCTCATTCTAGATGAACCCACCTCTGGGCTCGACAGCTTCACTGCCCACAACCTGGTGAAAACCCTGTCCAGACTGGCCAAAGGCAACAGGCTGGTGCTCATCTCCCTCCACCAGCCTCGGTCGGACATCTTCAGACTGTTTGATTTGGTCCTTCTGATGACATCTGGCACCACCATCTACTTGGGGGGAGCCCAGCACATGGTCCAGTATTTCACGGAAGTTGGCCACCCCTGTCCTCGCTACAGCAACCCCGCTGACTTCTACGGTGAGCCAGCCAGGCCAGCAGCCTGGTGCCCAGGGCTCCCCCACATCCCAGACCCTGCTGAGCCTGGTGAAAAGATTCAGGAGAGAAACTCTTAGAGGCTTCAAGAGAGCAGGACCAAGGAAGGGGGTGGGTAGAGTGGGGTGCAGAACGTGGGTCAGTTTGCCAAGCATCAAATGCTAGAAATGAGGGCCTGAAACAATTAGCTTCTGACACAGTGACCCTTGTGTGCATGATAGATAAGAAATTTACAAGAGATCCAAAGACCCGAGGGGATAGAATCCAAGGGGTTTGGATCAATTTCTAGATTTGTGGTCTTTACTCAGGCTCTGTAAGGAAACTTAGGATATTTGAGGTCAGGAGGTCACCAGGAAATCTTAGAGCTGTGCCCTGGTGCCCCCCAGAGGTAGGGAGCTCCAAGGCAGTGGGTGGTGGAGGGGCCCAGAGCATGGGCCGGCTCAGGGCATTTTGGTAGTCTTGGCCAATGAATCTCCAGATATGAAAGGTGCCCTGTCAGCGCCAGAGCTGCTTTTCAGCTTGGAGTCCTGAGCCCTCAGCTTGTGGCCCTCAGGGAAATTGTGAGCCACTTCCTCCATTCCTGTGGGGAGAGTTGCCTTTCCAGGTACCCACCCTGAAATCAAGGGCCTGGATCCTGAACGCTGGGGAATGACGTGGTTGCTGGACAGGTCACACGGCCGTACCAGGGCCAGGGGAAGCAGCAGCCGTGGCTTGTCCCGTAGGTCACCTGGGGCCCCAGCTTTCCTCCCAGGCCAGCATAGCTAGGGCCTCATCAATCAACATGATGACAGGGACTACCTCCTTGAGGACGGATACTGGCCCCCAAAGTGCCAAGCTCTAGAGGGTCTCCCTTTGACCCTCACAGCCCTGCCAGGCCAAGGTCATCTCCATCCTTACAGATGAGAAGACGGAGGAGCTGGAGAGCTAAACCCAAAGAACTAAAGAATAAAAGGACGAAACACCTTCCACAGTAACGTGCCCAGCCCCTGCCCTGACTCCTGGCCCTGCTGCCCACACCCTCCTCCCAGCGTCCAAGCCACCTTCCAGCTCCCCCCGTGGAGGATAGGCCACTCTCTCCCTCGCCCTGTGCCCTCAGACTTGTGAACTCACACAGAGGTCACCCTCCCTCCCTGCGCTCAGGTGACAGCCTGGCTTCTTGCCAGTGTGTCATCCTCAGGCCAGTCATCCCCAGATAAGGGGGCAGAGGGCACCTGCCAACCTGGCCACTTGGAGCAATCATGCAGTAACTCCAGAGAGGAAGTACCAGAAGTCCCTAACAGATCTGAAAAACCTTTTTGTTATATATTGTTATTCTTTTTCTGCTGGGGGGCTCCTGCCTACAAGCCCTGGGGCAGGTGACTCCCACCAATCTGGGGTGCAGGGCCTGGAGGTGCCAGTGAATCTCGTGTTCTGAGCTACAGCCCTTCACACTGGTGTGAAACACTACAGTTTACAAGACCCCTCCTAGACATTATCCTGCCTTGAGATGTGGCCTGAAAATAGGAGGAGGGGAGAGGCAGAGAGGTCAAGAGGTAACCCCCACTCAGGGGGGAATGGAGGGAGGGGAGCCCCCCCTAGGCCCTGGAGAAAGGCTGGACTTAGGAAAGCCCTGGCTGTGACAGGCCTGGTGTGCCTTTCTGGCATTGCAGGGGTCTGTGAGAGGAGGGCAGTGGCTGGGGTTGCCAGGTGCTTCCCACGGGGTAACATGGAGGCTGGTCGTGCTGGCTCCTTCCCCCCTGTCAGTGAGGGCAGTTGGCCAGACAAGGCACCCTCCAAGCAAAACATTTTCCCCTTTTGGGCAGGCTGCTTGGGGAGCCAAACTTTGAATTTACAGTGAGAATTAGCACTGCCAGGAGCCCAGGCTGCTCAGCCTCCCCCTGGCCCGCCCACCTCTTCCCCATGGGCAGGCCAAGTGCTCCTTGCGTGATTTTTGGACGGCTGGAGTTGGATCCAGGGCATAAATGTGCTGTGGCCTTTGGCTCCAAAGGTCCAATGCCACCTGCTCTGTCCTGGGGATGTCCCCATGAGCTTCAGTGTTGGGACAAGGGCCAGTGCCCACAGGCCTCTTCTGTTGCCCTCTTCCTGATCCACCAGCCCTTCCCTTGAGGCAGGCTTTCTGTAGATGTGGCCAGGCCCGGCAGGATGGAGGCCAGCCCTGAGCCTCTCTCTGCCTCTCTCTGCTTTGACCATCACTCCATGGTCCACTCTCAGAGGGTGGGAGCATGTCCCAGAGCCCCCGAGGGCTGAGCAGTGTTGTGAGATGGGCTTGCACGAGCTCCTCACCTGTGAGCAGACGTAAAGACGGAGTCACCCTTGGCCCCACATCCTCTGCTTACAGTGGACCTGACCAGCATCGACAGGAGAAGCAGAGAGCAGGAAGTAGCCACCAGGGAGAAGGCTTGGTCACTTGCCGCCTTGTTTAGAGAAAAAGTGCGTGACTTTGATGACTTTCTATGGAGAGTGGAGGAGGGGGAACCAGAAGTGGGCACTTGTGCAGAGAGGTAAGGCGAGCTGGGCTGGTCCTGGATGGAGAGCACCCTGCAGAAGGTGGCCGTCCTCACACGCCCATGACACGCTCTGCCTCCCAACAGCGCGGCCCCCGTGAGGGACACCGACCACCTTCGGGACTCCGCTAAGCCGCCTGGCTCGGTGCAGCAGTTTACCACGCTGATCCGGTAATTGTCTGCCGTTTCATCTCACTGCCCCCACCCCACCCCTGCCAAAGTCTTTGTTGTATCAAATTAAGCCCTTTGTATCCAAAGTGAATTTGAAAGAAGTAGAATCCTTTGAAAAAACCAGCATCACCGAGACCAGCACCAGCCCTCTGTGTGACACAGAGCATTCCTGTTACTTCTGTTCTTTAAACAAAATCAAAATAGCCTTACTGGCCAGATGATCATAGAAATCACCTAGAATCATTATGAAAAATTCGGACAATACAGGAGAACTTCAGGTGGAAAGAGAAGTCACACCAGCCCTCAGAGAAAACCAGATCCAAGTGTTTGGTGGGAGTCTTTCTAGATCTTTCCATACATAAATGGGATCATATTCTGCATATTGTTCTGTAACCAGCTTTTTTCACTTAGAATAGCACCTATAGAGCGCCTGTCATCTGGTTAGTTCTTCCTCCGCGTTCCTATCTAGCCATAATTCATTTACCCGCCAAACCATAGTGATAGTCAGATTATTTCAGACTTCTGCTATTACAAGTAACTCTACAGCAAACATCCTTGAACATACATCCTTATGCACTTGATTGGTTATTTCTTCAGGATAACTTCTGATGAAAGTAACAATCATTTATTGAGTACCTACTGTGAGACAGATGCTCTCATCCATGATCTCATCTGATCCTCACAGTAACTCTGTGGGGTGGCTATTGCTATCCCCATCTTACAGATGAGAAAAATGAGGTTTATAGAGATTAAATGACATTGCCAAGGTCACAGGACTGATGTATGTTGTTCCCTTGGCACCTCTCTCTTCTGTCTTTTAAGTCGTCAGATTTCCAACGACTTCCGAGACCTGCCAACCCTCCTCATCCACGCAGCCGAGGCCTGCCTGATGTCCCTGATCATTGGCTTCCTCTATTATGGACATGGGTCCGACAGGCTCTCCTTCACGGACAGGGCGGCCCTCTTGTTCATGATCGGAGCGCTCATCCCTTTCAACGTGATCCTGGACGTCATTGCCAAATGTGAGTGTCGCCTGATCTTTGAGACCCACACGTGGAGCAGCCGGAGAACATGGCATCAGCCACCCTCTGAGCTGGTCCAAGGCCAACATTTGTTCCTCTGAGCTCCTGGAGAAAACAAGTTTGCTGAATAATTTCACCACAATGGTGAAACAAAATGCAATAATTGTTTTTAAAGTTTGCCCATTAATATTAGTGTGCAAATGAAAGCAAATCACCAAGGACTCCTAAGCGTTCCCATCCTATCAGGATTTCTACTTGACAGCAATGCACAAACCACAGAATTACAAACATCTAAATTAGGATCTAAAACTCTGCCTGTTTTTTTAAAAACATAAGACATTTAGGCACTATGAAGACTCAAAAACAGAAACACTGTAAATTAATTTCGCTTTTTCAACGTCCCTTTCTCCCCTTTTTAGGTCACTCGGAGAGGGCAATGCTTTACTATGAACTAGAAGACGGGCTGTACACTGCTGGGCCATATTTCTTTGCCAAGGTGACTGATGGGTCAGGGCCAAGCGTTGAGTGGCTGCACCAGGTTGGGTAGGGGTAGACGAAACTGCTCCACATTGTACAGAAATTACCAGGAAGCAGTTTGCTGAACTGTGGGGCCGTGCATCATCTGTGGTTGCAGATGCCATTTCCTAGGGGAGTTTCAGAGCTTTGATATTTTTTAAACATTTACCTGAAGGCCAGGCCCGTGGAGCAGGAACGACACTTTTCTGGTCAGCAGAAACGTAAAAAAGAAGAGGCAGGAAACACCCGGCATACTTCACCTCTCCAGTCTCGCCACATCCCTAGGAAGCAGGTCAGGCAGATGTTACTGTCCTCGTTTTGAGGAAGCCAAAGCTCAGAGAGGTCATGAGGATGTCTCAAGGCCACACAGCTACTAAGTCTGGTCAGGCAGGGTGGGGACATGAAACCAGGTCTTAGGAGAGCAATACCTTGCTGTCGTTTTCACTGGGCCACACTGCCTTCCTGGGGGAAACTGCTTTGAACTGGCCCAGAGGGAGCACATGGCACCTGCAGGGGGAAGCCAGCAGTCAGCTCTTGCTGGAGGGTCCCACCTGCCCACACCCACCAGCCCTCCTGCTGCAGCCTGATCGTCCCCAGGAGGGAAGGTTGGAGCTGTTGGGGGTTGCTATCTTTAGACATTGAAGGAACAGTGGCGAATGAAGGGGTTGGCTCCACATCCTTCCAAGGGTTGTTCGTTGCAGATCCTGGGGGAGCTTCCGGAGCACTGCGCCTACGTCGTCATCTATGGGATGCCCACCTACTGGCTGGCCAACCTACGCCCGTCTCCCGAGCCCTTCCTGCTGCACTTCCTGCTCTTGTGGCTGGTGGTCTTCTGCTGCAGGACCATGGCCCTGGCTGCTGCTGCCCTGCTCCCCACCTTCCACATGTCCTCCTTCTTGGGCAACGCCCTCTATAACTCCTTCTACCTCACTGGTGGCTTCATGATCAGCTTAGACAACCTGTGGACAGGTGAGGCCTGCTCCCCTCCCGTGGTCAGGTTTTCTGAGGCCTTCTGAGGCCTTCTGAGGCTGGCTTAGCCAGCTTTTGTCTGGAGACGAGAACTCATCATTTAGGTCCAACTTAAGGCTGGTCTTTCTGGGAGCAGGTGCCCTGGCCAGCTGTCCCGTGTGCCAAAAGTACGACTCCATACAAGGGTGTGGATGGTAACTTCTCATATCCCCCAGCTGACACCGGGATGTCAGCCACCCTTGACTCTCCCTCACCCTCCACATCACCAGTGAGCCAGGTCAAGTCTGCCTCCTAAGTCTTTCTGAAATGTCCCGTTGCCTTATCTCCCAGCCCAGGCCTTATCATCTGATCGTGGGCCACTGCAATAGTCTGGTCTGAGCCCTCACCCACACAGAGGGAGCTTTCTAAAGTGCAAATCCATGTCACCGCTTTGTTTGGGCCTGCCTGGGGCTGTTCATTCCCTGCTGCCTCCTCCCAGCTCTTCAAGCCCCTGACACAATCCACGCCCTCACACTGGGGCCTGTGTCGGTTCTTCTCCATAGGAACCCCATGCCTTACCTTGCACGGCTCCTCTCTTCTTCCAAGTCTTTCCTGACCAAGCTGGGCAGGCTTCATTGCTTCCTCCTCCTCCCCACACCGTGCTGCTCCATAGGATCAGGGCACAGACCCAAAGATCTCTGGTTTGGAGCTGCTGAGCATCCACAGCCTGTCAGTCTTTGAAGCTGAGCAAATGCGAGGACACCTAGTTAGTTACTCTCTGGAGTTGTTATGGATCAGTGTGTGGCAACCCCAGTTTGTGTGCCAAGCTGCCACTCTGCCCTTTCGCCATCTTGTCCTCTCTCTCCCCTCCTTACTCCCTCAGGGGACTTGCTTGCCCTGGGTCAGAGCCACCGCGGCCCTCTCTCCAGGCACACTTCGCAGGGAGCAGGTGGTTAGCCCATGTAAATAACATGACTCTCACTGTCTTCAGTGCCCACGTGGATTTCCAAAGTGTCCTTCCTCCGATGGTGTTTTGAAGGGCTGATGAAGATTCAGTTTAAAGGGCAAACTTATCCCCTGGTGGTCGGCAACCTTACCATCCCCATCCCAGCAGACATAGTAAGTGGCCAAGGCCTTGGACTCTAAATAGAGGGTATCCATCTGAACATCTTCTTAATGAGCTCATTGATGTCTGTGTCCCCAGATCCTCAGCACCATGGCCCTGGACTCGTACCCACTCTACACCATCTACTTAATCCTCATTGGCATCAGTAGTGGCTTCGTGGTCTTGTACTATGTGACCTTAAGGTTCATCAAACAGAAATCAAGTCAAGACTGGTGACTCACGCCCAGACTCCTGCCCACTCATGGGGCACTCGAGAAGACCCTTCAACTGCACTCCCTTCCTTCCTCCCAAGGAGCCCTTTCTGGGAGGACGGTGAGAACACAGACGCTCAGCCACACTCGGCCCACAGGGCTACAGTGGCACAGGCCGGCCACAGGATGGCAGTAGAATAAAGACAGTCGGAAGGTATCGCTGCTCACTGGCCAGAGCTTGCGATTACTGGGAGTGTGAAAACCATACCTGGGGACACCTACAATGTTGCTAATTTATTTCCTTTTGATAAGTATTTATATAGGCAACTCGATGCAGGACAGGAGCAGATTAGATATGAAGGGAGTAGCTGGGCTGTGTGGGAATTGATAGGGAACAATAACATAATAGCTAGCGGAATATTTGACCTTGCCTTCTAGGGTCTCCAAACTCTGTGTTAAGCCATTCTCAATAGAGAAACTGATCTAAAACATACCAGCAGGATGCCACCCCTTATTTTTGCATGGTGTCATGGGCTCCAAGAGCCCAACTGAACACTTAAAAATTTATTGAGCATTTACTCTATGCCAGGTACAATGCAAAACACTTTATTTATGTGCACAACGTCTTTCAATTCTCAGAACAACCCTTTGAGGTGGGTGGTATCCCATTTTATAGATGAGGAAACCAAGGCACAGACAAGTTCAGTTTGCTAAGTAAGGTCACAGGCTACTAGGTGGTGGAGTCATGTGGGGGTCAGAAAGGCCTTCAAGGGCTTTAGGAGTTAGAGAGGAGAAGGTAAAGCTTGAGCCTCTCTGTAAGCTTGGAAGCCCAGAAGGCTCCAGAAGATGAAGAGGTTTACGGACGTGGTATCAGCTCAGCCAGGCCTCTTACAGTTGCATCTTGCTGGCCCTGGCTGGGCCTCAGGACCAGCCTTGAACCTTTTACAGTGGCCAGGATATGGGATGGAGCAGGGCTTCATCCTACGCTTCATGCCCAAGCATTGAGGACCATCTGACTCAAAACAGGCGCACAGAAAACGGGGAGGGGATTGTTCCCAAATGAAAACCAGAGCCTAGACTCAAAAGAGGGGGAGGATGGGTGTTTAGAAGGCAAACAATAAATGTTCACCACGGGTTCCTTAGGCCCTTTCTACTTCGAGTGTGGTTCCCCAGGCCAGCAGCATGGGCCTCACTGGGGAGGTAGCTAGACTGGCAGAATCTCACGCCCCACCCAGACCCCTTGGATCAGAATTGGCATTTTAAGAAGATCCTCAGGTGATCTGTATGCACGTTAGAGTTTGAGGAGCAGGGCTCTAACTGCCCTTGTACCATATAACCGTCAAACTCAGGATATTAACATGGTTACGTTATAACACTGCACACTGTGACGTGACATTGCCACCATCCAATGGGCAGACTCCGTTCAAGATTCACGAATTGTTCCAACAGTGTTCTTCATAGCAAAAGGATCCAGATCAGGATCAAGCATTGAAGCTAGTTATCAATTCTCTCTGGTCTCCTTCAGTTTAGAAAAGTCCTCAACTTTCCTTGACTTTCAGGACCTTGACGCATGAAGATTTTGTAGAATATCTCTCGATTTGCATTTGTCTGATATATTTTCATGATTAAATTCAGGTCACGCACCTTTGGCAGGAATATCACAGAAGCAATGTGCTCTTCTCATTGCATCCTGTCAGTGGCACGTGATTTCAATTTGTCCTGAACTGATGTTAACTTTGATCACTTATTTTCTCCACAGTCAAATCACTATTTTCTCTCCTTCTGTAATTAATAAGCATTTGTAGGTAGGTACTTTGAAACTATGTAAATTGCCTGTTCCTCCTCAAACTTTCCACTTATTCATTTTTAAATGTATATCAATATAAACTTGTGGTTTCATATTTTATTCAATGGGTTATAAGCCTTTACTATCATTATTAATTTTGATGCTCAAGTTGTCCCTGATTTGGCCTAGGGAGCCCATTCAGGCTGGATTCTGCATCCTTTTGACATGTCTCCATCCTTCTCTGAACACTTTCTTTCACAATAGAGTGTTTCAGGCTCATCTTGTACTTCAATCCCCAGTCCTGGAAGCAGACATTTCTCTAAAGAATCTTGGTTCCTTTTAGTGGAAAATGGCATTTAGAAGCCAATATCTGAGTAATAAGTATGCTCATTGCTATTGGGGCATCACTGCTCCCAGGCCCTTTCAGTGGACAAAGCTAGGGAATACACACATGTATATACAAGTATATATGTACGTGTGTATATGTGTATATGTATGTGTGTACATGCATGCACACACACATACATACAGATCTATCTAAATTTTGTGTGTGTTTGTATATATATTCACATTGATATATCCAATTCCAATCCAGCACCAATCAACAGAGCTGATTCTAGTTTTCTCCCTTTTTGTATTTGTAACTTCCTCCTCCAATTGTGAGAAACCTGGCTTCTCTTAATGTTTTCATTCATTGGTTAATCTGCTATATGTAACCAATCTCCCATCTACACTGCATGCCTTCTGCAGTGCGGACAGCCTCCTCACCCTGCTCGGGCTGTAACTCGCATGTCAAGTTGTCCCAAGTCTGCATAGATGCCCTCCTCACCCTACTCTGATCCACCACGGCCACCCTTCCCACCCCACCTACAGCCACACTGTGGTTGCCTAATGGCTTTAGGTTGAATGGAGAAGGGAGAAGGGAGAAGGGAGAAGGAAGAAGAGGACATCAGGTTTTTTCTTTAACTCCCCAGTGATTCCAACATGCAGTGAGGGCTGACAGCCACTGAGATATGTCATCTCCCTTTGTGAGAGTTATGGCCACTCAGTCTGCCAAGGGCTTTAATAACTCAGTGGGCCCTGGTACGCAGGGCTGCAGGGGCAAGGGGCAGAGGGCCGAGGCAGGAGAGGTGGAGAAACTCCGGCAGTGGCCATTGTTTCCTTTTTTTCTAGAGCATCCTGGCTGCCCACCTGGAGCTTTAACAAATGCCAATGGGGACCCACTCCTGGAGGTTCTGATTCCACTGGTCTGTTTTTATAAAAATGCTCCCCAGGGTACATGAGACCAGAAAGAAGAGCCACTGTTCTAACATGCATGCAGTTCAGTCAGCCCTCCTTGCATTAAAAGCGTTAGAGATCTGCTTTTGTGTAATTATCAAAAGCAGGCTTGCCAGCTTTTACTGTTAAGGGTCAGATAGTAAATATCTTAGTCTTTGTGGGCCATACAGTCTCTGTCGCAAATATTCAGCTCTGCTGTTGCAGTGTGAAGTCACCACAGAAAATTCTAAAGTACGGGCATCGCTGTGTTCTAGTGAAACATTATTTACAAAAACAGGCAGCATGATGGACTTGGTCCGAGACTGTGGTTTGCAGACCCTTGATCAAAAGGTAAATGTTTTGAAATTTGCATTTTAAGTCCTTCAATTTCAAGTTATGTTATTGACGGGGACATTTTAATTAAGCAGAAATAATTATCTATATTGACTCAAATATTTCCCGATGTGATTTTTTTTAAACAACTCTTTTTCCTAAAAAGATTATTTCAGACATAATCTTGCTCTGGGTCAAGCTGATCTTCCTGGTAAGGCTCACAGACGCAGATCTTACATTTGCTTTTTTCTTTTCTCCCACATTTTTTCTTCTTTTGATCCCAGATTAAACAGCCAGCGGCAGTGATATTTAAATCTACACCAAATCAAGTGTTAACTACACACCTGGGGGTAGGGGTTCTGCTGAGACTCAAATTAGTCACTTAGCAGAGGTGCTTATCACAGACACCTCGTGCCACTTTCTTTTCGGCCCAGTCATGGGTCTGCAGCGCCAAGCAGGCTTGAGGAAGAGAGCAAGGGACTGGCAAGCAGGAGTGAGGAAGCATCTTGCTGGTTGACCTGTGCTTATTTGGAAAATATATCCACTGCTCCTGCCTGAAAGAAAACATCTTTATTTGTAAGTACAGTCCTGCGTCGCTTAACAACAGACACACATTCTGGGAAATGTTGTTAGGCTATTTCGTTGTCGTGTGAACATCATAGTGTACTTACACAAACCTGGGTGGTATAGCCTACTACACATATAGGCTATATGGTACTAATCAGATGGGACCACTGGTCTGTCGTTGACCAAACGTCGTTATCCAGCATATGACTGTAGTCTAAACTAGGTAATTCAAATCTTGAGTCATGTCATTTGCTTTTGATAAAATGACTGGTTCTTCCTTTAAGGGGCTGGCGTATAGAGCAATCCTGTGTCCCCATCACATGGTCTGCCTGAGGCAGCATCTGCAAGGACCAGGCAGGCAGATGGGGCACAGCCCATTTTCTGCTGGTGGCCAGGGAAAAGCAGCATATATGGCATTAGCAGCTAATAATTAAAACAATACTGTTTTAAGCAGTGGGTTAAGATTTTTAAACACATACTAACTCAAAGGCTGGGTAACACTTCTCAGCTTTCTGTGTAATAGCACTCACATTTATCGTTTGTGGGATGGTCTTGTCTTTTTGTAAAATTGGAGGTGTTAACGTTTCTCCAAAAGCTAAAAAGCTCTACTGCCCCATGCTAAAAATGAAGCCATTTTTCTTGATTCTACTCCTGCACCGTCCTTCAATCCACTTGAGATGATCTGACTCCCAACACACATTTAAGAGCCCTCTTCCTCCTGACAGCAAAGTTGAAAATGCTTTCATGAGGGCACATGAGTTTTGAAGGACTTCTTGAGCCTCAATCCTCGACATCCTAGCTCTGAGCTACAAAGTTGTTACCGACCAGGTTCATTTTTGCCCGTTGCCTGGAAAGCCAAACACCAAGACGACAAGATTGCAGGAGAGAGAGGGTTTTAATCACAAGGCAGCCAAGTGAGAAAACAGGAGAACAAGTCTCAAAACAGCCTCCCTGCAAATGGGGGCTCAGGGGTATTTCTAGGGTAGGGAGCAGGGTGGTCTGAAGTGTGGAGATAGATGATTGGAGGTGAGGAGGGGTGAGGTCACTGATGATCTATGCAAGCGTAGTCAGACTTCATGCCTCTTGGTAGAATGCATGTTCACAAAACGGCGGTGTTAGCAAGATCTGAGGGTGGAATTTTTAGTCTCTTGACGTCAAAAGGTCACTTATCCAGCATCTGCGCGGCCCCAGTTGATGGGTTGGTGGTGTCAATTGGCCTGAACTGGACAAGGGGGTCCTAACTCCTGAAGAACAGCTCAAACACCCATTACCATGGTGACCCAGGTGCCAGGGAGATGCTATCTAAAGGAATGTAGTGGGAGTCAGGTACCATATTGCCTAAGCAGCGCAGTGAACAACGGGTGGGGGAACAACTAAAAGCTATAATCGGTAACGGCAAAAAAGAAAAAGACTTTAGTTACCAGTTACCTAATCATCACTGGCTGTTTACCGGCTTCAATGTGGCATCTTTTATATCTCACGAAGACATGTGTGTGAGGAAACCCCCCAATGCACACACATCATACATCTCAGAAAGAACAGGACCTAGAAAGGGAGACCGGTATTGTGCCCACTGATTCATTTGATGATGTTTACTGGGCGCCTACAGTGCCAGGTTCTATCCTAACTGGTGGGTCCGCAAAGCACTATGAGAGCTCACGTTCCAGGGGAGGAAACAACAAAAACAAGTAAGCACTGGAGAGAATTTCAGCAAGTGCACATCTTGGGGCAGGGTCAGTCAAGATCCCACTTTCAAGAAAACTCAGTCCGCATGCTGGCAGCCAATCGCTGTCCACACAAACGTGCAGAGGCACTACGTCTGCAGCTGGTTTAATGTTTATGCTCTACCTCAACCCGATGATGTTTCTCTTCTTCGTGCGAAAAAGAAAAAGATAAGTGCCTATTTTGAATTTGCTAATACAGCCGTTTCCTTTATTTGTACTAAGGCTGCATAATGGGGGCTTTGTAAAGTCCGCAGGCCTGAAAGCAGGATACATTTCTAATGGAAACACTCACGTTCGTGATTGTACAACAGCAAAGCGATAAATTACCATGATTGTATACCCCCTGCAGCTATTAGTTCGACTATACTTCAGGAATGTTGCTTTCACTTACAGAAACTACAAATATTGGTTTGTCAGATAGACAAACATTAAATGAAAATTGCATTCAAAGACATGAGAAAAAGTATGCAGAGTACATACATGCCGAATTGAGAAGTAAATTGCACCGGGAAGAACAATTTGCAATATAAAGCTTGCTTAATAATTTACTGGAACTCAAAAACTCAGCGATTATGCCAGGCACTGGGTATCTGATTAAATGGAAGAAAATAACCTTACAGTGCTGGCATCCAGGGACTGGGAACACTTGTACTAATGGGAAAGTTTTTTTTTTTTTTTTTACAGAATATTCTTATAGAGATTTCAATTCGACTTTTAACAAATTTTTAACTGAGTTTAAACTGTAATGCTTCAGTTTTTTGTACTCTCACAGAAAGTGACTAGTTAGAGTTCAAGCCATGTGCTGTGTCGCTGTGATTCTGGGCACACGAACCCCTCATTTTCTCACTCTAAGAGGCAAGAGGGGCGCCGGACCCGCAACAACAGGTGCTCAGGGTTAGCTATGAGGAACCCACAGAACCGGATACAGACAACTCAGATAAGTCGATTTACTGTGAGCCAGCAGCCAGGACGATGCTAGGCCTGGGGATACACAGGCATGAGACAGAGAATTGGTCCCCAGGGAGTTCACAGCCTGCAGGATACCTCCTCTGCTCTTAAGTGCTGCAGGAGCCCTGTAGAGAGAACTGTTAAGATACTGCGCAGGGAGAGAGGCCGAGAAAGTGGCAGAGAGGTGACGTGACATCCAGGCGGGCCTCAGGGAGGACTGATGGGAAAGGAAGAGGAGGGTGAAGGCAGAGAAGAGCTGGGAAGTGTGCAGACAGACCAGAGTGAATCCCAGTCATCTACGCAGCTGTAAAACATTCCTTCTGGTGCTGAAATCTCAAATTAAATACCTGCTTTTCCTTACAAGAGATAAGTGGTGACTTCTGTTGGTTTTCCACACACAAACCGTACACCACTTCACAAGGAAATTCTGACCACAGCAGAGGCCATCACACAATTTTTAAGTTAAAATTTTAAGACTAAAGTCCTTGAAATGGCTTAGTTATGCAAAAATTTGATAAGATAAAAATGAAGAAGCCCACAGGTTTTTGGAGTACAATTTATTCAAAGCATTTCACATTAAAGTATTAGGTTCAAATACATGAACATACAATTACATATAAAACACTACACTTTCCAAAAGTTTATAGTGATGCTTATTTTTCAGGATTAGCTGTTTGCTTATCATTTGTCTAAAATGTATTATTTTCTGCTGCTATAACTGTATTCACTCTATATTTCTATTTATTTCAATTTCACTATTAGATATTTTAGAAAGCATTCATAAGCCCATCTAGAATATACATTACATTTTAAATATTCATATTCAAAAGGGGAAGCCGATACAGTGCTAAAGACACATGACTTCACAGTTCTTTGTTAATCCATGAAATATAGTTAACAGCCCCAGCCTGTTGTCTAGAACGCTAGATGAGGGGTTCACACCTATTTCCTCTGCCCTACACTCACATTTTATCAGAGTCAATACACAAGGCTGGCTTGGAGTCCCTTAATGCAAATGAGATTGTACTCTCAGTTTCCCCAAGGATGACTGGAAAGTCCAGATCATGCCCCAAGGTTATGCTACATCTAAAGAGACCTATTTTAATAAACATCAATCAAACTTATTCAAGTAACTTATGGTTAGCAACTGCAAAAAACAGGCCTGCTTCAGTGCAATTTCTAATGGAGTGAGGCTCATGGCAAATCAGACAGTATCAATACTCTAACACTGTACAGGTCCTGCACCCGAGGAGTGTATACAGGAAAGCTTCATGAAGTCCTCCAGGCCAGGACTGGGCACTGGCCAAGCCCCCTGATTCCTTAGGGCTAAATCTACAAAACACAGATGAAGAAAAGTATGGCCAATGCCACGATGACATTTATTTCTTGGTTTCCCTCCATCAACTCTGCCTCTCACACCATCTGCAGGCTCTAGATGCAGGATGGCTGGTCCCACAAGACACAGGTTAGCAGCACAAACAGCGGGAGGCTGGCTTACTCCCCCCAAGGCAAGGTCTCCCCTCAGGTACATAGTGGGAACCAAGCAAGTCGTCACTGAAATCAAAACAGTAGGTAGTCACCAATTTCAAATGGACAAGGAATACACCCAAATAGGGATAACTCTCAAACCAAGATCTCACTCCTTCATGTATTAAATCACATATTCACAGAATATGAGTATAAAGTAACAAGTCCAGTGTAGGGTGTAGCTTGTGCTGACAAAGACCTAAATCCAAAACGAGAGGAAATGCACTGCTCTGCTTCATGACCAAAGCCATGACTGAGACACAGTTTGAGAGACTTCTGTGAACAGAGGCTCCTGGAAGCCACCATGGAGAAGGGAAAGCACGGTGCGGAGCCTCCAGGGTTGGCAAACAGCACCCTGGCCAAGGGCAAGTGACAAGTCTCTTTGAGTCTCTGCTTCTCACTGGAAAAATATGAGGGCTGGATCTGATGACTCACAAGATGCCTTCTGGCGCCAACATTTTACAGAACTGGAAAGTTATGCAGGGCTTCAAAGAATTGTTATATTATAGAATATTAAATATTAGAAAGTTCACTGAGCATCATTTTGTCCAGCTCAAAATTTTTCAGATCAACAATATTAACATGCAAGTCTTAAATAAAGAACAACCTTTTTATGAAAATAGTAAACAACACAAAACACGAGAACTGAAGAGTCAATGGGAGAAGAACCCTGAAAAACTACGGCTTCAGACATTAGGAGCCTCGAAGAAAATGCCGTAGATTTATATTGTAGGCAAAACCCAAAATAAGTCTAGTGACTGAGTGCACACAATTATTGTCAATGAGATCTGAACCTATCATATAATTATATGATGATATACAAATAAACAAAAGTACATAAACAAAGTAACTTTTCATTTATTTATTTTGTTCTTGCAAATACATTTAAAAAATAACATTTTAGACACAGAATTACAAATACACACAAAACAAAGTAGTGGCTGCTTTTTTCACAAAGGGTTCTCCCTTGATTCCTTTAGCTGCTTTGCATAAAACTCAAAGCTTTCCTGTGAAGGAGACAAAAAGAGAGGGAAGTCACAGATAAAGTTACTAGCAAGAGGTGATGGTACAAAACTTACAAATCAAGAAGTACTGCACACTGGTAGCACAGACTGCAGGGCCTATGGCAGTCGCTGTCCCCTCGAGCTTCAGCACTCCTCTGTTTTACGAAATCATCGTAAAAGTTCAAGGGCCCAAATTCGGAGTGAAGGCTAGGACAGGCGCCTCTGCAGTGTGCATGCACGTGCGTGCAGGTATTTACACCTGGGTACAGAAGGCTGAGGGGTTTGAAATAAACATGGTGCAGTGACGTTTTAGCTCCACGACACAATAAAAAGGAATTGTACATATACAATTTCTCTTATTAAATAAAATAAAATTTCCTGGGCAACTACTGAATGAGAGAAAATATTTGAAAGTCATATATCTGATAAGGGGTTAATATCAAACATATATAAAGAACTCATACCACTCAATAGCAAAAACCAAAAACTTCGATTAAAAAATGGGCAGAGGAACTGAATAGAAATTTTCCCAAAGAAGACATACAGGTGGCCAACACGCGCATGAAAAGATACTCAACATCACTAATCATAAGGGAAATGCAAATCAAAACCTCACACCTGTTAGAACGGCTATTATCAAAAGACAAGAAATAACAAGTGTTGGCGAGGATGTGGAGAAAAGGGAACCCTTGTGCACTGTTGGTGGGAATGTAAATTAGTGCAGACACTATGAAAAAACAATATGGAGGTTCCTAAAAAAATTAAAAATAGAACTATCATATGATCCAGCAATTCCACTTCTGGGTAAAACACTAATTTGAAAAGATAAATGCACTCCCATGTTCACTGCAGCATTATCTACAATAGCCAAGACATGGAAACAACCTAAGTGTCCACCAATGGATTTAAAAATATTCCATACAATGGAATATTATTCAGCCAGAATAAAGAATGAAATCTTGCCATTTGTGACAACATGGATGGACCTTGAGGGCTATGCTAAGTGAAATACATCAGAGAGAAAAAGATAAATACTGTAGGATGTCACTTATACATGTAATTAAAAAAAAAAAAAAAACAACCAACAACAGACAAAACTGACCTCATGGATATAGAGAACAGACTGGTGGTTGCCTGAGGTGGGGGTTGGGGAGGTGGGTAAAATGGGTGAGGGGGTCAAAGGCCCAAATTTCCAGTTATAAAATCAGTAAGTCATGGGGATGCAAGGTAACAGCACGGTGACTATAGCTAATAATACTGTATTGCATACTTGAAAGGAGATAGGAGCGAGAATCTTGAAAGTTCTCATCACAAGAAAAAAATTTGTAACTAGGTATGGTGATGGATGTCAACTGGACTTACTGTGGTGTTCATTTTGCAATATATACAAATATTTAATCATTATGTTGTACGCCTGAAACTCATATAATGTTATGTCAATTATACGTCAATAAAAAATAATTTCCTAGATGAAGAAATAAAAGCCCAAGTATTTAGAATGAACAAGTAATTAACAGGGACATAATATGCTTGGTTACTGAAATACGTTAAATCCTATTTCAAGTTGAAATGATGAGAGAACCGCCCCAAGGACATTTGATAAATTCCTATCTACAGCTGAAGGTCTCAGACTGACCTTGTACTTAAACCTCGGCCCCAGGGGGCGATGTTCGCACACACCAAACCTGAGGCATGATCGTTCAGTTCCCCAAGCCCTCCCCTGAGGTTCTTCCCAGAGATTTAATCCTCATGTAATTAAGTATTCAACTTATTTTTTTACACATTATTATGAAGCACACATAAATCTGTGGAGGTATTTTTTCCCCTTAATTAAGAAATACTCACAGGGGGCTCAGTGAAAGGGACAGACTCTCCAGCATTCTTCAGAAAAACTGCGTAACGCTTTAGAAACAGATCGTTCAACTTCATATTCTTTGCAGTCAAGTTTTCATATAGTGCTTTAGCAGACACGACATCATTGTCCAAGACTAAAGAAAAAGATATTAAGCATAGATAAAGACGATCTATCTTCCTCTTTTCCCAAAACACTTAGCTGTTCAGGGACTCATGGATCCCGTTATCCCAAGGCAAACGAATACTTAACCACCTTCAGAAACGCCACACTCAGAACCTACAAGCTCCCTCACTCCTTCCCCATACTTCTCATTCAGCGTTATTCACTATGGAAGAGACGGAAAATGACAAACATGGCTATTTTTAAAGACCCATGAGAGTTAAAGTGACCACAAACTGAAGTCCTAAAACAGAGTCAGCACATACCATTCAACCCTCTTCTGCTTAAAACCACACTTTGAGATTAAGCTAATTCAGGGACTGCTGTGAGGGGCATGTCAATTATGTACAAATCTATATCTACATCAAGATCATCAGCTAAACACCACCAAAAAGACTTTCAATACATTCCCCTATCGTAAAATAAGCAAAGATGAGGAATATAGTTAGTATAATGACAAAAACAAAATCTGTATACATTATCAACATACATAAAAAATTTATATACACCTATATAACATTAAGAAGTTACACTAATATTTCACTCACTTGGATGATGAAGTAGCCTAGAAGCTAAGGTTAGCTGGCTCTCTCTGCACTTGCGGCTGATTTGCAGAAAATTTGTTTTAAGTTTGTGGAGATTACAAGGGCTCTGCTAACAATGGCTGTTGGTAATCCAACTCTTTAATTTTGCATTAGATGAACATCTAAGCACCAAACAACCCCCACCCTACACTGACCCTGAATAACCAATCCCAACTCCAGCAGCGCCAAGGTGAGCCTTCAGGACGGATGTGAGAAATTGAGGGATCAATCCAAAAATCTCCCAAAAAGTAATGAGCATAAATCACTCATAAGCTCTCACTGGAGTTGAACAGATCTTTGCAGTTTGGGTGGAGTCAATTTCCAGGGTAAATCCTTTGTTCCTCTCGCTAAGGGACAAACCCTCCAGGCAGCTGCTCAGAAAACTCTCCCAATCTTCCCCTTCACAGCTTCCTGATCTCCCTGCGCCTCTGCCCCCCAGTTCCCAAGTGGGATCACACAATTCAGTAGTCGTTTTATGCTGTTTGACACATAATATTCCATGTTATTTAGTTATTGTTTAATATCTGCCGATTCCACAGATGGAACTTTGAGAAGGTTTATAATTACAGCTCTATTTTGAAATACATCATGTTCCCCTCCCAAGAGTGGAAAAATGGAGATCCAATTTACTAATTCTGATTGCTGAGTCTGTTGTCTTGCCAACAATAAAATCAACAAAGCAATCCTTAGTTACTCCTTGCCTCAAGTGAGCAAATCAGTGGGTGGCAGATGGATAGGTGATCACAACTTAGAAATGCTAACGTTTATCTTAGTTACTGAGGAAACGTTAGACTGGTTCCCTTTCATATGTGATTGCCTTGCAATGAGGGAACAAACTGTTTAAAAGAGTGGAATTTCAACTGTGACTTAAGGTAAAACCTTGGGATCCACTTTTTAATTAAGGTCTGTTGTTTCAAAGGAGAAGGTAGGCACGCAGGGAGGGTACTGCAGGAGCAAGAAGGCAAGTCAAGCGACAGTCTCCAATAGGTATCATTTCAGGTGGCAGAGCGTCGGGGAGACTGGACCGGTTCCCGATACGTGAAGCCACGTGAACTTCCACGTTTTTCCCCAGGAGCCTCGGATCCTACCCAACACACCTGGGCCCCTCTGAAGATGCTCAGTGACATTTTTTATGTTAAAGTTATATGAGTAATTTCACATTTTTCTTAAATATAGTTTTAAAACATTCTAAAGCTAAATAAATTATTCTGTCATAAGTAATTATCGGATATTTAGGATTACTGCCTTTGAGCTGAAGACTTAGCTAACTATGCTACAAATATTTAAATCATTTAAATACTACAGTCAGATTAAACTTATTACCATAGCTTTTCATGATGGAAGTGTATGCTTCTTCCTTTTCAGTTAATTCAGGAATCAATTCTAACAAAGATTTCAGAGCTGGTGCCTAGGAAATTAAATACAGGTAACATTACCATAACTCAAAAGAACAGTAAAACATAATGTCCGTTTATCAGTGTTCTATCAAAAAATCTTGACAATAATTACAACAGAACTGCCTATTCCATGGACGATTTTCCCTTCTGTATATCATAGTATTTGATGTCGATTTAATAATTCATAGACAAAACAAACCAGGATTTTTCAAAAGTTAATGGAATTCTATTTATATTTCTATGACTATTTTCGTAAATTATTATAAAGATTACTTCTTTTGTCAACTGGTGACCATACCAAGAAGTTACGTGATCCCAAAGGGAGAGGACGTAATACTGCATCTTTAGGTGCAAAAGTTTTAGATGAAATGTGAAGACTTCAAGTCAAACATTCTGAAGTTTTCTCTACTTGGCATATAATAGAGCATTTTCAGGACCTCGTTGGAATTTTTACTAGATTGCTTTTCAGAGGGTATCTAGACACAGCTATGGTTTTACTTCCTGTAGTGAACACAGAACTGCCACACCCTAAGGAATAACCACTGAATGTTTCCAAACACACTCCAATATTGCTGGACAAATCAAAGGTGGATACATTTACACTCTGTTCCCACCTGACCAAGAAAAGCCCAATCTGGCTTAATTAGTCTAATATCAAAGAGCTAGATCCTGTAATTGGAATTTTTAAAAACTTCAACTCACTCTTTAGCATGCTCATTCAGTCAATCCATAAGTGGACTGCATCTTTCCAGGACATCCCACAATTCAAAGTCTCCTGGGCGGAATGTTCTCAGCACATATATTACTGAGCACTTCCTGTCCCATCTTCTGAAAAGGCAGTAGGTACCTGGCACAGCCCCATATGTGGAGGGACAGGAGCTTTTTAGATTTCTTATACTTCTTAATCACAAATTTTAAAAAAGTCTTTTTGAAAGGAAAAAAAGGGCAACTAAATATTTCCTAAAAATTATTTGTTGTAAATAAATACATGAGACAGACAAAAAGTGCAATAAGGTAAATTACACAAAGAAGTGTGTGTATTTGTGGAGGAAGTGTGTGGAGATTAAGGAAAACTAGACCTCCCACACTGGGAACAACCTAAATGTTTCACATAAAACAAACAGTACTACTGGCGCTCAGCTTGAAACTTCATAATGTGCCCAAAGAGACTAAGAATGGGGTTTCTGGTGCTCAACAGGTAAAACTGGATCTAAAAAAATTTTTTTAAATACGCTTTTATTCTGAAGATTTTATTTTTTTCCTTTTTCTCCCCAAAGCCCCGCAGTACATAATTGTATATTCTTAGTTGGAGTCCTTCTAGTTGTGGCATGTGGAAAGCCGCCTCAGCATGGCTTGATGAGCGGTGCCACATCCACACCCAGGATTCGAACTGGTGAAACCTTGGGCCACCACAGCGGAGTGCGCAAACTTAACCACTTGACCATGGGGGTGGCCCCATAAAAAATGCTTTTATCCTTTTTTTTAAAACATCAAAAATATGACTTGGTCCTGTTTCTCACACTCACACACACTCACACGCCTTTTAGTGTAAATAAGGTAACCTAGAAACTGAGAACATTAATTTGTAGCACATACCAGTTTTAAAGCCAAACGGCTCATCCACCTGACGGCTTATATCTGACAAATAGTCAAAAGCCGCCACTTGCCAGGAGACGCTCTGCAGGATGAAGTCTCCCTCGACAGGTCTCCTGCTGAACGTGCTAAGTGACCTGAGCAACAGGACTGGTATCCTCCGTTTTCCAAGGGCCCTTCCCTGGAGCTCTCACTGCACAACTACATGCACAGAGAATCCACTGCATACACTGACTTGTATTTCCACTACAACTAAGGGGCCAGAACTGACTCCATAGCAACATCTGAAAAAGTAAACAACTACAGACAAGCAAGTCTTCAATCTCTAGAGTGTTTTTAGATAAAATCCTGAAACAACAAACTCTTACATGATACTCAATAGCTTTGAACAAGACTGGCTTATAGCACAACTGGTGCGTCAGCAAGTAAAGCACAGTACCTTTCCTCGTCTCCGAGAACTCCGAATACAGAACACCAGGAAAATTGGGGTCTGTTCAGCAATTGCACCACATCTCTAAAAAGTGAAACATTATTCAGTAAGTGAAGATTCTTGATAAACAAGCAGACCAAGGTGAACACTCCCAATTAAGAAAGTTCACAATAATACAGTAATGTGTCATTACCAATAGGAAGGCCTAATAGTCAACCAATTTTTTAAGGTAAGAAAAAAGAAAACAAGTGCAAGTTATGCCAAGCTTTTATGAATGCTGTCCTTGGCATCACAAGTATAAAGTTTGTTTAAAAAGAAAAGGGAAAAATTAAACTAATGCTTCAACAACCACAGCATAAGGTTTAGGACTGCAAAGAAAGAGGGAAAAAAAGAAACACTATTCCTCTCCAATTATACTGCCAAGCATTCACAAGTGAGCTAGGGATCATAAGGTTAATTATACATTTAATAAGGTGTCAGGGAGATAACTGCTCGTTTCTTTATAAAAATTAAAATGTACAAAGCAAGTTCTCTTTAAAGTATAATTACCTACACTTATGCATACAAAAGGACTGATTTCAATCTCTCTATTTTATAAAAGGCTTTCATTGCAACAGACAGCCAGTGCTTGAGAAAGAGACAAAAGTTAAACTCAAAAAAAAAAAAGTTTATATGACAGACCAGATAAATCAAGTGTCTATCCAATCTTAGATGCTATAGTAAAATCAAATATGGCAAGACAATATTTTAGTTTACATTCATCACAGATGTCATTCTCTTAAGTTTCTAAAAGCACACGGCTCTTTCAAAGCTTTAAAATATTGTCAATACTAAAATGAATAGGATAAAAAGAACTTTTGGGGACACACAGAATATTTACATTATAAACTGATGTTTTTGACGTCTGTGAATAAAGTATGCTTCACTACAGCAAGAATAATCTTTTGCTTTTGCTGTTTGACAAGCAGGTAAAGGCTGGGGAAAGGGTTTATCATCTGAACCTCTGTCTACTGAAGGATGAAAACGGAAAGTCTACTGCTGTTGCATCAACCCTCAGCTGTCATCAAGAGCCCCCGACAGGCGGCTGTGGGTGACACAGACCGGAGCTCTGAGGCAGCAGGCACTATCCCTGCTGTCTCCCACCCCAGGCTGCTGTCAGCCGTGTTCTTGAAGAGCCTTGAAAGCCTACAGCTCAGAACAAGCTGGTAGATGAATGACCAAGTGCCACTTTCTAAAGAACTATCAAAATGACGTGCTAAAATCGAATGAGTACCATCACATGTATGATTAGATATGCATACACCCCTAGTAGGTACACCTAGGTATGTACACACAAAGATAAAGCAATAGGGTTTATTATGCCTTTCAAGATAGAGCTTTTAACACTAAAGGCAGCAAGATTAAACAATGAAAAGATTCCTGAAATCCCTATCATAAACTGCCTTTCCTGTAAAAAAAAAAAAAAAAAAAAAAAAAGGAGGAGAAGGAAGGAAAAAATTAAACAAACCAAACCAAAAATTTCCAATTAACTGGAATTTCTCTCTGTCCAGGAACAAAAGTAAAATAAGCCTTAGAAGCAGTGCCAATTTACAATTTTTACAGAACTGTTAACATAGAGAAATTTCTCAGGAACTCCTTTCACAAGTGGCTTAGATGCTACTGTCAACCTAGATGAACTTTAAGGATCAAAACTAGAGCCGGAGCGAATGGGTGCAGGCTCACCTTCCAGATCTACCGCTTAGGATGTTTTGCAGCTAGTGAGAATGTAAGTGAACATACTACTATTTACTCTCAGAAACTGGTCCCAGGCCTCAGTGTGACACAGGGAGTCTACACAAACACAGCCGTTGGTGGGATCACGGTGACTGTTTGACTGCCACCTGCTGGGAAGGGGCTCCCCGGCGGCGCCTGTTTGTGTACATTGCCAGTGGCAGCTCCGATCACCCACCGTTCTGTCGGCACTTGGTGCAGCTTTATATTTAGTGCTGTTAAAATGGCATGAATGCAGTTGTCTCCCTCCCTGAAGATTGCTAATTTAACTGAGAGTGCGGGCCACAGCGACCTGCATTTGTCATTTAATGTGTCAGTGACACACAAGTGAATGGAAAGCAAATTCAACTCTTAATAAACCTTGAATAAGGCACTGAGAATGTTTGAGTATTCAAGTGAGAAGTTGTACTTAAAAAGCAAATATTTCCTACTTTTTGTTTGCAAACTGTGTTGCCATGGGGACGCACAGTATTTAGAGCACTAGAGAAATTAAAGTAGAAAATCAAAGGAATTGTTCTGCGTTACCTATCTGCACAGAAACATTGGTCATTAAATCATTTCAGCAAAACACCTCTGCCCCTTAAATTGAAGGACATTACTAGTCTGATTTGGCATCTTCAAAACCAGCAACCTAGAACTTACAATCCAGTCCTTGCCAGGCAACCCTGATTCACATTGACTTTAAATGTGCCAGCAGCACCACACTTCATTCTGGTACCCTACCACACACCTATGTTTAGAAATTCCTCAATTTACTTCTCACAAGCCACAAGCCACTGCTCCATGTGTGGTGGGTCATTACCTGTAGGAGAGCTCTGGCATCATCCACCTTGCCTGAGTCCACAAGCTGAAGGAAGAGATCGGTGACAGGTTTGTAAACTGCAAACTGATTGGCCAATCTCTCTGCCATGATGCTTACTGAAAAAAATGACAGGTAAGAAAAAAATCTTTCATTTAAACAGTAGTATAACTCATCCACCAAAGAAATTGAGCCCAGTCTCGCTAGAGAGAAATGTGCTTCTACGTTCTGCAGCAAGAACAGCTAACTTACTCTTTTCAACTGCTGGTTCCAGCTGCTCCTCTATTACTTTTCTGAATAAGTATGCCAAGCCAAAGTACTGGGGTTCCATGGTTTGATTCCCTGAAGTAAGCATATTTTCAATGTTTTCTATTGCAACATCTATGTTATTGCTGTAAAAGAAAGGAAAATAAATTATAAAGAAATATTTCCTTTTGTGTTAATATTGCAGGCAGTTTTAGTATGAGAACTTACTTTGCAATCACACATACAAATACTTCTGGAAAAAAAGGAAATACATTTATAATTAACTGGATAAAAAACACTACGCAAGTTGAACCCAATCACATTTAGGTAGCAAAAGCAATCACTAGGTGGTTTATACTACAATAACTGAAGTAGTTGCTGATTTTAAAACACTGCTCTAGAGGCAAGATCAAACAACTATATATAGAAGAATTAATGAACGATACCTTAAGAAAATATTATATCTTAAATATTTAATTTGATTCTTCCAGCTCTTTGGATATAAAATGAAAACTTGTTTAAATGCTGTTAACTTTTGCTTTATAATCTATAACTGGTTACCACTGCATGAAGATAATATATTAACATCTCAGCATTCTCAAAGACATTGATGATTGTCTTCCAAAGGTATATTTTCATATCTCTCAACCCACAGTCACAACAATTTGTTTTTGTCAGATATTATACAACATTTGGAAAATATTCAATTTATACTAAAATTCTCAGAAAAAAGTATCATCATACTTTACATTAAAAAAGTCAATTGCATGGCCTTATTTAACAAGTTATAATACAAATTATCTTTATGACTATCTTTTTGGTTAAGGTACTCTTTAACTGACACTTAAGAGTTATGATATGGCACTCCAAATCCAAATAATCAATTTTTTGCTGAAATTATGACCTAAAACATAAGAATTCTCTAACTAAAAAGGAATACCCTGTTAGAATAAATTTTTCTTATAGATTTTAGTTAGATAATTATTTAATAGTGAATAAAAACACTCTATTCATCATATAAAACTGTGTTTATGTGATAAAATTTTAAAATTCATCCAGATCTTACTGGGATAATTTCCTTGATCTTCCAACTTATAATCACATTTTCTTACTAACAGGAAAGTTTAAAGTTCTATTTGGGGAAATAGATTTAAAAGGGAAAAACAAAGAAACACAACTTCTTCTCTGCCCAAAGACATAAGAACAAAATATCCTGCAAAAACAAACACTACATTTTAATATCACAATCCATTAAGTGTATGTAAGATTAATTACTAAAGAATTTTTTTTAAAAAAAGCAGGAAGTGTCAATTCCAAAATTACCCCCATGAATCTTTAACTTGAGCAAAGTACTTTGCTAGTGAGGTTAATAAAAATCAAGTCCTCATTTACTTCTACAGTGGGGATTCTCAACAAGCAGTCTCGAGATGGTGGGAAAAGAATCACCTCTCACTCCCTCCCTTCTTGTGGGTGTGTGTTGACAGGGTGGATGGGTAGGAGAGCGGGAAAAAGGAAACATCTATTTTTAACAAGCTTGCTGGGCCCTTTTTTTCACAATGTTCTAGTAGAGTGTCATCACACTCAAGTGTTGCTAACAATCAAATGAACTCATTTTTCACCTCTGTAACAAAGTATTTTGACAGTAAGGGCCCGGCATGTATGAATGAGGAAAGGTACCAATAGTGGAGCAAGTTTTACAATTCAAAAAATTTGATAAATGCTGTTTACTCTAAGGTTTAATTTAAAGTTAAAATATATTTTGTAACATATAATTAATCCCCAAAAGAGAATAATAAGCAAGCGGCATCAATATTTCCTCTGTGGTTGATATTGTTTCTAATAGCCTAAAAACGTTTTTTGAGATAATGCTCCTTCCAGTATCCACTGGAGGAAAAGAAAGCTCGAAAATACTCACTTCTTTATTTGTGCCAAAGCAATGTTATTGATGAAAACCATATTTGAAAGTCCAATGGAATCTTCGAGTCCATTTACCATCTTCTGAATCGCTTGTATGCTTTCTAGATCACCCTTCAAAGCACATGCCTGAATAAGGCGGGTCACTGCTATCCTAGAAGGTATCTGCTCCAGATCCAGGGCTGTTTTTAGTGTTGTTAGAGCCTCTACAACAGAAGAGCAGGTGACAGAGTTTTTCTTATATGGAAGGTACTGACTTTAATGCATTTTGAAAACCAGCTTTTAACTGCGAGCACCAAATGGCTATACACAAAAAAAGTTTTGAATAATTTATTTGAGACTACAGAAAATATTAACGCTTTATAAGAAACCTAAAAAGAAATAATGATTTGTTTGACTCAGATATCAGAGACTAGAGAAATTTCTCCTGTAAGTCACAGAGAAAATACAAATGTTACTGACAGAAAGTGGGTTCCAGTCTGGGATAAAATTTAGTGACTATTTTCAAGGAAGTTGACAAGTTTAGAGAAATATAAATAAGAATTTTAAAAATTAAGAAGTTTCCAAAAATATGCAACTTCCACCCACATTCATACTTTCCCAGATTTTATTATACTCAAAGATTATATGATTATCAGAATCTTGTAATACCCCAGAGATTCCGTCTTGAAAACAAAGTCTCTTTTTAATCCAAACAGGATCGATCCCACAGGAGCAGCTAAACCGGAACATTCCACTTTCACACTAACAAATTTATTTCACATGACTCAATACCTTGTAGATATTTTCTTGCACTCATTTTTCAAAGAAAATAAAGCTCATTAGATTCTCATGGATATAGCCACAGGAGTTTCTGTTTTTTTAAAAGTATACTGACAAGCACTTGATTATGGATAAATATGGAATATCCTTCTGATTTACTGACTCACGTGCAAGTGTACTGAAATCATTGGATTAAATAAAGTGGTGGATTGGAAGGAAAATGTAATACTTAGCATAACAATCACCACTATCGCTACCAAAGAAACCTTCATGGCTTTATAGCAATTAAAGCCATGTAACCTAGACAAGACTAAGACTCTCAAAGCAGCTTTCCAAATAAGATCAGCCTATCTTTTACAGAAGAATAGGGAAAGGGTAATAATTAAACAGTCTCTTAAAAGTGATACAGTAAGAGACAATGAATTCAGCATTTATTACTGAATAAACAATTTATAATTAAATTGATTCTCAAATGAGGAAAAGGGAAAATAGGTAGTTTTAAAAGGCATGTTCAATAAAATTTTATAAATACATATGTACATACAGGAAAGAAAAATTGCTTATACCATCTTAATATAATCTACAGAAAATAATCTTGATAAAATCTTAACTGGTGGTCATACACAGATAATCAACATCATAATATTCTTATTAAGCAAGAAGACCGTCGGCTAGGGAGGATCTTCCCACCAGTGAATCAAAATAATAACCAAAATAAGATCACGACGGTGACAGTAGTAACTGGCATTGACTAAGCTTTTACCACACTTGTGGAGCATGTACTACATGCCGAGCACAGTACCAAGCAACTATCCTTCTGATTTAAGTACCAGATTTCTGGGTGAGAAACAGGCATGGAGAGTTTAACTTTGCCCAAGGTCATGTTGTCAGACATCAACCCAAGAATCTGGCCACCCTAGAGCCTGCATCTACGGGTGCATGTGTGTGTGAGAGGAGGATCAAGGAGAACAGATCCTTTTCTTGGGAGTATGGGACCCTGGAACCTAAATAATATTCCTATGCAGAAATTGCCTTCTGTACAGTTTATGAGTTAAGAGACACCAAAAACAGGAACCATCCACACCCCTCCCGAGTCCTTTTTACATTATCACCTAATTTGCTTATAATATTGATTACACTGCAATGGTGCCATTATCACCTATTAATATTCCAGAAAAATATCAGCTTATAAAGTTAGATTAAGACTGAACTGGCTTTTTTTTTCTTCCTGCTTTAGATGGGATTGAGAAAAAGAAACCTGAAAAAGAGAAGGGAAATGTTAAAAATTGGGAGCTCTCATCAGCCATGGAGCACAGTAAGGAGATGGAGATAGAGCCAACAGCATGCCCATCCTTGCTGATGGCCACTTTAACAATAGGTTAGTCTGTAGCAAGGCACGGGAGGTGGTGTGTCGGGGTGGGGGTGGTAGTGGGTTCATGGCTCCTGCTCTCAGCCTGTCTCCAGTTGAGCTGAATAGCTGAGAAGAAAAGATGTGGAATTATATCATGTAGTTTTTTACAGTTTTCACAGGGCACCTAACATTCAAGTAAAGGGCAGGGGTCAAGTTAAATTCAGTCCAGATTTAGCTCAAAACATAACCCCTTGAAATTAAAAAAGTATTTTATTCTTATCTCTGTGTCTACAGAAATATAAGCTATTTACAAAAATGAGCTTATTTATATGGGCAGCAAGTTTAATTTTTCAGTTTTAAAACTGTTTATCATTTATACATAAAATAACTTGACAAAAACCTTTCTATTGAAAATAAAATGAAAGCTTTTAAAGTTTTAATAACCAGCCCTACATCACTCAATTATGACTTAAGGTTGTCCAAAAAGACTGTCTAGATTGTCTGGCCCTTCCTGTGGAATGCTGAGGTAGAAATTTTGCACAGGGAGAAATCCTCACGTACATGCTCAGTCTAATCAATTAGGAAGACATCTAAAGACCAGCACATTTAGGTGTTACAGGCAACATTACGGCTGCACAATTAGAAACTCTCTCTTAGGGACGTGAAATTGTTTTATCAACATGCAAGTGAGGAATAACACCATTATTATAGACTGAGGAAGAAACAAGGTAACATATTTAACACTTAGAGCTTTTTTAATCTTTCTTAAAGATTTCCTAAGTGGGTTTTGTTGTCCTGGCAAAACTGTAGTGTTACTGAATTGACTAATTCGAATGTAAAACTAAGCATGAAATGACGCTTACCTAAATTTAAATGATTCATCATTTCTCCCCTTGGGAGCTCCTTTACAGACCCCCACATCCAAGTCCATCCCTCTGCAAACCCATGAACAGCCACTACCAAACAAACAGCCCCCATCCCAACCCTCCCCAAAGCCATCTCCACATCTTTCTGGTGTTATCCTCTTAAGATTAATTTAAAAACTCCAAACTCCAAACAAACACCATATTTTACTGCTGTTGGTATTATGAACTATTAAAAAAGTATTAGATTAAGTTTTAAAAATCAATATTATAATCATTTGGTGCACAATCCCACACATTTAACACTCAATTTAACTCATTTGCTATCTCACACACAACCAATACAATATGCAAGAAACAACTGCTGGGAATTGTTTCAGATGCTCTAAAGTATGTTAATTTCCAAAGCAAAATGACGTGTGCTGTGAATTTTAACGCACTTGAAAGCCTGTACTTTCTCTCGTTCTGGAACACAAATTTTGCATGTCTGAAGAGCTGTGATTCATCTTAAGAAAACCCATCTTGTGTTAAATGGAATGGAAACTGGACTAAGTGGTCAAATGACAAGTACATTCATATTCAAGCTGTATTATAAATGCATGTACAGTAATTTACGTCTCTCAGCTACCACAAAAGGCTCTTGATAAGCAGGTAATTTGCTAAATGGACTCCTTTATCCAAGTATTCGAAGGGCGTTACAAGAAAAATCTGCAGAGGCATTAATGTGACGTAAAGGTCAAGCATTGTGACATACCTTTCAAATAATCCCGCCTAACTTGCGTTATGATGAGGAGGCTGCTGGCAGCATCGTTCAGTGTGAAGCCCTTGATGTGGGTCTCAGCGCTAAAAGAAGCAGACATTTAGAAAGGAATTACTGACATGCTTCTGATACGATAATAAATGGTTGAGCACCAAGGTGAAATTATAAAAACTACTGTTCGTATGTTAAAAATATTGCTGCAAAATATCGACCTGGAGACAGCTTTTGTGTTATCCTGTCAATGGTTATAGAAGGATAATTTTTTTTTGCATTCTGACAGATGACAAAGTTGGAAATGAGCAACAAAAGAAACAAAGTACAAGATTTTTTTTAAACAATCGGTTCAGATTCTTGAATGCTGACATATTAGATGACTAAAATAACTGCATGCCCTGCATTGTTCTGCTGTATCCTAAGCTGGATACTTTTTCCTCTTTTTTCTGCATTCACCATAATTATAAAATGTAAAACTATTCTTTCAGCAACAAAAATGAACATTTATTTTCAGCACTGTATATTTTAACTATAAACTAATGCATATTACTAACTAACACCATATCATTTGGTTGATTAATTTTCAAGTTTCTGTCATCTAGATACATACAGTTTTTAAAGGTGAACATACTACAGAATGAAAACCATTGTTAGGATAAAATTAAAAACTTCACACAACAATCTTGTCTTAGCCTTAAATTTGAAACAAACTCCACCCCCCAACTTTTTAAAACTCAAGAGCAAAAAATTGCTTTATTTATCATTAAAACCTACAGGATTTAAAACAAAAACAAACAAACAAAAAACGCCCTAGCCAGAGATGATTTCTGTTTGCTACATTGTTTGCACATCTCCTGGGATGAAATTTCAGCATCCTAATACCGCCAGGTTCATCTCCCGATTAGGAAATCTCCAAAGGTCAAAAGGAGCAAAAGCAATTGCTCCCATTTGCCTTATCAAGCTCAGCGATGATCTTGTTGCCAGCCTCGCCTGCTGACATGAACATCTAAGCTGAGCAGATTGAGAGGAAAGCAGGGTCACCGCTAAATTATTCTCGTCAATCCCAAGAAAATCCTCCAAAGACACCGTGACGCGCCCATGTTCTCGGCCACTTCCAGCCTGAGGTTCAGCCCTGCCGTCCCCGGTGTGGGATTTTCTTACCCCCTGACCGATCCTCTTAATCCCACCAAAGCACCCATTGCTCAGTTTGACTTTTTTCCTTTGTCCCATCTGTCAAAGCTCTTAAGTCAACAACTCGTGCATAAGACTATAAACTGCATAAAATAAAGGATTTACTTTCTCAGTCTTTAGCATGATTAAATAGTAAACACTATTAAAAATAAGCTCACTTCTTATGCCAACATTACAGGTATTATATCATATTTACTTTAAAATATTACCTAAAATTCATTAAAACCACGAAGTAAGAAAACTTTTAATTGACAGTGTTTAGACTTAGAAACCTTTCAAAGACATCAAAATACAGAATATCTTCTTTCAATCCCTTCCTATCTCAAGAAACTGCCTATTCAATACAAATATGAAAGTGGGCATAAATAGCAGAAAAAACCTCTCCCCAGATCTATTATGTACTGAAAACATGTATTTTACATACAAACAAATGGACCGATAACGACCAAACTATATTTCAAATTGGTAAAAGGAGAAAAACTACAAAAGTTACCGGTAGAGATGTTAGCAATGGACTCATTTGTACAATACCAGAAAAGAAGTTTACTCCTGACCCACACTTTTGATCTGTCCTTTTGGAAAAGATCTAGTCCAGAGCTGTCAAACCAAACTTCCTGTGATGATGGAAATATTCTTTACCCATGTTGTCCAACAGAACAGTCACAAAGCCACATGCAACTATACGGATACTGTGACGAAGGAACGGAAATCTTAATTATCTTTAATTTTAATTTATTAATTAATTTAAACAGGTATATGTGGCTAGTGGCTACTGGATTGTATAACACAGAATTCTAGACATTTTCTTTTCACTTTCTGAACTGCCAAAATAAAGGAAAAAATTACAGAGCTAAAGGGGTATTAATCTTTTAACTTACAATCAACTGCAAAACTTAATCTGTCTTAACCAAAGATGACAGTATTACAGGAGAAATTTCACATTAGAGATTTCAGAGCAATGACTGGTCTATGGATTGTACTTACATAACATGCACATAGGACATTAGTCGGTGATTATAATTTATCTTACTTTGAATAACAAAAACTGGCCAATCCAGTAAAAACCATCAGATTGATTTAGAACTATTTCTAGATGGAATGAAACAGGAAGCTAGTAAGGACAAGAGAAAATGAAGTGCTATTCTCAAAAGATAAAGCCGAGTTATTGTTACATGATTCTCAAATTCACTAATAGTGTAGTGTTATCAGAGATTTAAAATAATTTATATCCCTTACTGCTCTTTGAATAAGCAGTTCCCTTCCCTTGAAAGAATTCATTGTACTTAAATTTTTATTTTGAAACGTTAGGAAATGGTGCAACTCCAGCTAAAAATTAAAGAAAGTTGGTTTCTTTAAAAATGTTTAAAGGCAGCTGTTAGTGTTACTTCTGATGTTATATTTCTTGTTGGGAAGGTTAAATGACTTTGTTAATAAAACTGAAGAAATCTCAGTAGAGGTCAAGTGAATCTACAACACATTAGAGACAGCACAGGTACAGCAAAAACAAAGACTGCATTTTTTAGTTCATCGGGAAACCTACTGCTCTTAAGATTGGACTAGAGACATCATGTAGGTAATTATAACAAGAGACTGCTATTTATGGACTAGAGTAACAGTGCTAGAATAATACTAGGGGGTACTGTCACTTGCTACAGTGGTTCATTTGGTCACACCATATTACAATAAAGATGCCTATAAAAAAAAGGAACAATTCTTTTTATACTCTGATCATTCATAGAGAGCTGGAAGAGGAAGAGATCACCTAGTCTAACGTTGGCAATGAACTAGGAAATGAATCCAGAGTCGTTACGTGACATTCCTCCAGTAACATAATTAGTTGGAAAACTGAACTCCAACTTTCACCTCTGAATTCCCCATCCAGAGTTATTTTCGAAAGTACTCACCATAGATCTAACCCAAGATACAATTCTTCATAGTTAGATATAACATTTTTTTGGTTCAAGGGAAAGGATGCACATCCAATCCCAGGTCAGCTGCCTCTGGCATTCTAAGGCTTTGCATCTAGGATTCTCTTGGGCCCAAGAGCTACACGGGGAGGGCAGCTACAAAATACTCCTGGAAGGATAACACAGCTAAGATGAAAGTGCCCTCAAGAGTACAGAAAGGCTTCATGAAGATCTTGACAGGGTGGGAAGGCAAGAAGATAAACCTACATTTTACAAGTTGTAGACGTACGGGGAAACAGAAGGGCTGTGCCTATAACCAACTTATAAGTCAGCAGCTTTCACACAGTCAGACATAGTAAGAAATGATGTTTTACACTACATACCAGTGCACAGATATACACATGCACGTACAACTGAAATAAAACTTTCACAAAACAGTATCTTTACTACATGAAGTGCTTTGATATTTTCTATTCTATTTCATTAAGAACAAAAATATTGGTTCCAGTCCACTGAAGAGATTCCATGACCCACTAACTGATTACAAACTGTAGTTTGAAAAACTACTCCAGATCAGTGTTCTTCAATGAAAGGTATGCATGAAGGCTCCAGAGCGAGACAAGAAAACATTTAAACCTCTTTTTAAATCTTATCCTCTGAAGAATTTCTATGTTTTACAATATATTTACATGTGACACATTAGGACAATTCACTATTAATGGTTTATGTTCAAAATGTTTAAGATACGTGATTCTTCGATCACCTGGGGTGTTTAGTGAAATGCAGATTCTTGGGCCTCGCACCAAATCAACCGAAACCAGAAGCTTGGGAGTGGGCTGTGGGGACTCTTTTTAGGCTACCAGAATGTAAGGCTCACCATTCCAGAACAAGCCCAATTAAAACGAAAAAATTACAATGTGTACCCTTGGGAAATATTTCAGAGGCCTTTGTCACCAACCTCAGGATTAAAAGTTTTTTAAAAAGTTTTCCTTCTTTGCTTCTATCCTCTTACTTAATTATACCCAATTCTCAACACAAAACGCTCCCCTCTTTTTTATGCCTCTTTCCTCCAAAACTCACCAGTGCTTCAGAACTTCTTTGCTTATTATGGATAGTGTTGGGATGGAGAGTTTAGATGATAATTTTTTGAGAGAAGTAATTTTAGGAAAAAACCCACACCCCCTTGACGACTTCACTGGTTACAGATGACAGGATACTGTTCAATGTCAAACGTTCCAAGTCACTAATTGAGGGTGTATTGAGTAATCTAGGGGTAGGTAAATTTAATTAGCAACTGAATAAACGTACGAATGAGACACAGAACACATTAAAAATCTGAACTTGAAAGTGTTAGTGTGACTGTCCTTTATCAAGACATACAAATGATGAATCAAGACCATAGAGAGAGATATATATACAAAAATCTCCACATACATGCTGTATGTGTATGTGTATGGATATTTCCACAGATAAGTACACATTTTTCAAAATGCACTGAAACACAAACAGTAAATATGGCCCTACAGTGCATAACTGTAACCTAACACTAGTATTAACACCAGATTTTCCAGCGAACTGCAAGAACGGTAAGCATCCATTTTGTATTCAGGATTCTAATATTCCAAAAGTGCTGTGACTAAAAAATTCTCAAGACCAAAAATTAGCCAAGAGAGATTATTTCAGAACTCACAATATATTAGAAAAAGGATGACCTCTGCCATTGAAAATAAACCCACTGACTCATCAACAGGGTAGGTCTACATTCCATTGCAGGTGACCTTGATCTACGCCTTTCTGGGATCTTCCTTATTAATAACTCAACTTTTCAACATACCTCCTTGGGCATAAGACAACAGAGTCAGTTAACTAACACACCAGGTAAGAAAACTTTATTCTTGTTCTGATTAACAAAGTATTTTACTCTAGGGAACTAGCCAGAGAGACAAAACCACTACCATCACCACCAAACAGATTGAAAAAAAAACAAAATCAAACAAAAAACACAACAGAAGGGGAAAGAGAAAAGGTATTAAAATGTGTGGAGTGTCTACATTTTCTCCACTTCATCTTATCTACTTCAACACCCAGAAGCAATCTGTAACCTAAGTTTTATTATCCCCTCATCATATAGAAGAAACACTGAGGCTCAGAGATGGGACATAATTTTCCCAAAGTCACAGAGCTTTCAAGTAAAATTCAAACGCTTGTCTAAGTTCAACGCTGCTCTCACCACAAAAGGTACATGGATCTAGCTGCTGAACAAGAAACAGGATATAATAAAAAAATTACTTTTCTGTATATGGACATCATAAATAAGCTGTGAGGTTATAAAAGGTAAATAAAATGTACTGTACTGTGCAGGGCCAGTAAAAGTTGTATTTTTTATAGTTTAAAAAATCCCATAAAATTAGAAAACCATTTCCTACGAGTGTTGTGGGTAGTTGAGGATAATTAAGCAACTGCTATACAACATATCATTAGAAAAATCCTAATGATACCCAATTTTTTTTAAGTGATAGGTTTAATAAAAGGACTACTACTTACAAATCTTTCACTTGCATTGCTTGTGTAAAATTATCCTTCGTCAATAGTAATTTTATAAGACTGTTGTAAGTTTCACCGTTAAACACAACATTTCGATTTTGTGCTTTCAGGAAAATATTATACGCATCTATGAAAAAGAGAAAACAACAAAAAATGAGATGACATTATTCTGAAATGGCAAAAAGGAGGGAAAAAACCCTAAAACAAAGCCCCACACCTACATATTTCTGTTTCTTTTAACATACACCCACTATACCACTCTACAGAGACATCCAAACTGGCATAGCAAGCAGATGCTGTCACTCTTCTAGTCTCTAAAAAACAAAGTGTCAATTTTGGAAACTATTACTTAATCCAAATGGACAGTCCCTGAAAGAGCTTCCTTTTAAAACTATTGTCAATAAATTATTTTCATGCCAATAAAAACGAGAATTTGTTCATTACAAGATAATATCAGTTTCAAAATAAATTGCAAAATGTGTGTTAAAGTCCAAATAAACCAGAGGTATAATTTAGATTGAGGGGAGCAAAAGATTCATTTTCAAGCAATCTTTAATCTATAAGTGGGTGGTTACAATGGTTAACATTTCAACACAATAGCATTAAAGTAAATATAGCCTATAATTCTAAAATTAGGAGATCAAATTATTTGGCTTCGACAGGACTTATACAAAAACATACAATTTTCAAATATACAGATATCTAACAAGTAAACTAGGCAACATTTGTTTGACTGATTAACAGTTTTATTTCACTTGTTCACAATAACTGTCAGTGAATGAAAAGATGTTACCAAAAGAGAAGTAAGTGCACTTTTCAGTCACTTACTTTTCTGAAATAAAATTGCCTGGCTATAAACATCCAACTCAAACTATGATCCACTCTCTGGTGTGTGTAAACAAATCACAATGAAGATGGGGCATAAGTGAACTTTCATGGATGACCTTCTATGGATATAAAGCTCAACGTAAGGAAATACAGAACTGCCACTAGGAATGAACATGACATTAATGCTCAGAAGAACATTCTGAGCTACATTAGAGGTTTCTAAACAGGCAGAAATTACGCTTGTATTTAAAAGCTGGGGGAGTTTGCATTAGCCTTCCAATTAAACTGCAATAACAACATCAGAAACTTAAGTTATCCTTTTAAGCTAAATTCAGAGAAAACAAGAGAAAAAGTATGACATTAATATCTGCATCTTAACTAAGGAGAACAGATAGAATCTAGCATTCAATACAAGTGCAATATATTTTCCCTTTTTTTTGGGTGAGAAATATTAGCCCTGAGCTAACATCTGTGCCAATCTTCCTCTATTGTGTATGTGAGATGCCTCCACAGCATGGCTGATGCGCAGAGTAGGTCCACACCCAGGATCTGAACCAGCAAACCCCAGCTGCCAAAGCACAGCATGTGGAACTTTAACCACTCAGCCGCTGGGCCAATACATTTTCCTTTTAAGTGAGCTAAGAAGTAATGTAATTATTGTCTATTTCCCAACAAGCACATATGATAGTTCACTAATTTGCTGAATGAAAATATATAGGAAGCACAATTTGAATATTTATGGTCAACAAATAATCTAGAAAAATCTTACTAGCTGTTTTCTAAAATTGCAGTCTTCACATGAAATTGGTATGGCTGTGTTTATTATTCTCCATTAGTGGGGAAAAAAAAACACGCTAACATTGTAATGTACCATAATCATTCACCACAGGTTTGTTTCTGGTATGAAAGCTACAATATCCTTTTGAGTATACTGAACTATCAGAAATTTGAAAAAGTGCTAATGCAACCCATTCAATTTTCAAAGTATTCATATTTTACTAAGCATTCAAATCCTGAGATATACATAAAAGTAACCAACAACTCTGAAGAATTAACAGGATGAAACTAATTAGATAAATGTAAATTATATATAAAAACTAGAATCTCTACATTTATAATTAACATTGCATTATATTTAGTTAACTGGTTAAATGTTTTTTACTTAAATAAAAAAAACTAAAACAAAAAGCAATACATAGGCCAGCCCCAGTGCCCTCATGGTTAAGTTTAGCACACTCTGCTTTAGCAGCCTAGATTCAGTTCCTGGGTGTGGACCTACACCGCTCCGCTGGCAGCCATGCTGTGCTGGCAGCCCACATACCAAAAACGAGAGGACGATTGGCACAGAGGTTAGCTCAAGGTGAATCTTCCTCAGCAAAAACAAAAATGAACCAAAAAAAGGCAATATATGGAGGAGTTCCAGAATCTTTAAATACAAACTATACACTACCCTTATATTCACTTCAGTCAAATCAAATTCCACTAGAATATTTAAGCAGTATTGATAATAATAATTAACTTTATATTTAGATTTAACAGATACATGGTGAAAGACAAGAATATATACTGAATATGCAGCAAAGGGAAATGACTCAAAAATAATAAAAAGTTACTCTGCATGATTGAGAAAGTCTATGAGCTTACCTTATCCTTACTTCACACACTTTGTCAGTGTCAGAAAATTTCTAGTTAAGTCAAGAAATTAAGAGGTTCTATAAATTTCTAAATTGATTCCTTTCTACTAAACAGAACACAAAATTGTCAATACTAAAATGAAAAAAAAACCCTGCTGCATAATGTTTAAATTATCGTAAAGCACACTTGAAAATCCACAGAAAAACGATGGAGGAAAATTAACAAACATAAGGGAAACAATGGTAATATATGATTTGGGGAGAGAACAATGAAGTCTAAATGAAAATAACTAGAGTGCAATAGGCAAAACTCATATCAGAGGGTTCAAGGTAGTGATAAAAATTTTCAAGTAGTCGTAAGAGAGGTAGGTGATCATGCTATTTTCAAAGCATAACTTTTGAGAAAAAGCATACCTTTTCAATTTTATTACGAAAAATTTCAAACATACAGAAAAATATAAAGAATAGTATAATGAACCCCTTCTAATAATTAATATTAACATTTTGCCAGATTTATCTTTGCTCTTTATGGCTTAGGTATTTTAAAATAAATTACAAAAATCTTGATTTATTTTTCATCTCTCAATACTTCATTATACATCTCAAAATTTAAGGGTATTTTCCTATAACTCATAATACTATTACATATCTAATAAAAGTGAGAGTAATTTCTTAATTTTACCTACTACTAAGTTAATACTTAAACTTTTCCAATTGCCCCAAAATGTCTTTGTTAATGTAAAGAATGAAAGTAATTAACATATACAATTTAAGTTCCATCTCTAGCCTAGAACACTTAATCATTGGGCTTGGATCCCAGGTTGCTATAAGAAAGAAGACCCCTATGTACATATTTACCTTTGTTTTTCTTCCATTGGCAGGCATTCAGAAGATCTTTCTGGAGATTACTCTCCTCAGGTAAGGGTGAAGAATCCAGAGAATGTTTTTCATCCTCATCCCACAACTTAAAAACAAAATTAACTCAGTTAAACAAAAACTGTTAAATACAGTGATCTTTTCAGTATAAAACTGGGCTAATCCATGACCTGAAGTTAACACCGACAACAAGATCTTTTATCCATACACTTAAAAACAAATTACCTCAGGTACATCAAACGGAACCTCCTGATTACTGTTTCTAAGGATTTCTGCTAATAATCTTAATGTCTTCCCACGAGGAATAATATTTTCTTCTTGCATTTTATTCCAAACGGCATCAGCTCTTTGCCAGTCACCATTTATTTCTGTAAAATGTGGTTAATCAGAAATTAATGAACATCCTAAGCAGAATTCATTAAACTATTTAGAACATTTTCTTATTTGATATTGACGGAAGCACTACTCCAAATCCTGCCTGCAGGGAAAAGAACACGGTGACTGCGAACCAAAGGGGAGAAGACTTCTCTCTGTGTATCTTTTTGTACCTTTTTAATTTTAAACTATAGAAATTCCTTAATTATTAAAAAACAAAACACCCCACACTTTATTAAACACTTTGAAAATCATGTTGACAAAAAGTTCACCTTTTTGGAAAGACGATGGATATATGCAAATGGTATAATACAGGGTGGAAGATCTACAATGACTCAAAGTGTGCAAATGTATGCTTTTCTTCAACAGTGACAAATCAACAAACCTTTCTCACTTAGTTGAATAGGGAAAATTCTGTCTCTTCTGTTGACTTGAAGAATTTCTATGACGGTGTGTGAGAGACTTACCTCAACAGGATAACGCCATAAGACTACGTAAGCATTACAGAGCAACAGCAGGTTTAGTGGAAGGAAATAGGCAGATTCCTTCATATTGAAAAATCTAGTTCCTTCCATGTGGTAACCTAGTCTTCACAAACAGCAAAAACTTAAGAATTAAGATTTTATTTTTAAACATTCTAATGGGTTTTGAAAAGAGAAAAGTTAAGTCACTTAATTTAATAAACTTCTGCTTGTGAAAAAACAGAGTAAAATATGAAAAATGTCATGATACTAATTAAGTTTAATACAGCTATTAAGCACAAAGACACATGGCTTTAAATGTGTTCTTTTTTAAACTTTGCAAATATGAATAAGGAATATCTTGATTGTGTATGGTCAGTTCTAAGAAGGGGGTTTGTTTCAGAGCAAAAATGTTCCAGAAAACAAGAGTACACCTATTTCTCAAAAATACCAAAATACTAAAACAAATGGGATTTTCCTAGATTTCTCCACCTTAAAATTGAAAAGCTAAGTTTTTTGCTAACTAATGACTCCTGGAAGTAAAAAACTCAAAGAACAAAACCAAAACACATTCACACTCCATCGGAAAGCTGCAATAAAGAAAAGGTCATTAAGTAGGAAAATTTCCTAGGTCATACATAGATGGTAGCCTAAACTCTAACACAGAATATACCAAAAGGTGGCCCAAACAGTAGAAATTAACCTAAAGTTCAGAGTGATTTTATAAATACTTTGATAATAAAATCAGCCTAACCCTTACATTTACAATCAAATTTCAAAACAAGAGTTTCATGAGCTAATTATGCTTTTCATTAAAATGTTCTCATGTAATGTAAAACTCAAGAATAATTTTTCAAGCATGTGAATGGATAAAATTAATTTGATTAAACAAATCAGAAACAAAAACCAAGCCCCGGAATCTTTAATTCTATAGAAGGGGAAAGGTGGGACACTTCTGTTTCCTGCCAAAGGGTACCGCACACTGTGGAAGACACAGCTGGGCAAAGTTCTCAGCGCCGGGAACAGCACTGGTAAGGTGCTCTTTCCAGAGATTAACTTTAAAGCTCGCACAACCATTCTAAGCACTGAGGAGAAGGTGAGTGATGAACAACTCCGTGCCTTCAGAGTGAAAAAACTCTGGAAAAACAATTTTCTTCTTCTAAAAAAGGCACAAAGTATATGAAAAGCTACTTTGGGTGGGGGACAGGATATTACAAAGATTCAAATGGACTAGCAACTTATAACAAGAAACTGTTTCAAAATACAGGTGAGAATTAGTGTATACAGCATGAAACAACTCAGTGATTTATATGTATTTGTGTATGTGTGTATATTTTTTTTTAAGGGAAAAAATTTCTTGGAAATGTACCTGGAGCACAAAATACATAACAAAAATTTGAGGCAATCAAACTAGTCAGTGTGCCAAAATCTGCAGCTGTGTGTAAAATCTCAGAGAGGCACAGAAAGGCCATGGCTTTCTTTCATAATATCCCTCTGGGACTTAACATTCCTTCTACCAACATAACAACAATCATATTATTATTTGAAGAATCAAATAGCCACAAACCTGGGCTGTGCCCAGAGAATGGACACACTGCCTCAATAATCCCATCCCTTTCCTGGGACACTTTTTTTTTTCCCCTTCTTCTTCTCCCCAAAGTCCCCTAGTACATAGCTGTATCTTCTAGTTGTAGGTCCTTCTAGTTCTGCTGTGTGGGATGCCTCCTCAGCATGGCCTGATGAGCGGTGCTAGGTCCACACCCAGGATCCGAACTGGTGAAACCCTGGGCCTCCAAAGCAGAGAGCACAAACTTAACCACTTGGCCACGGGGCAGGCCCCTCCTGAGACTCTTTAAAGAACAAGACTGACTACTAAATGACCTCTGAGAACTCTTAACCTTAACCTATAAAGCCAAAAAACTTTGACACTATTGGTGAATTTTACAAGAACAGACACAGATGTGGGGCTACATTTTATGGCTATGTGACCAATATGGACCAACAGTTGGCACTTCACACACAGTCTCTATGGTATTAAACTAAGATGAACTAGTTCAGGGTTTTAATTACAGAGCTGATAAGTTTTTACCTATTACTGATAAGATGGGGCAATTTCCAAATTCCCCATTTGTCAATCACCTGACTATGGTCTCTAACGCACTCTAGGTCTGGGACAGGAATTCTGCCACATAAGCCTGGATTGTCCTGTTTTGCCTGGAAACAGGAACTATCAAAGACCAACAGGTGTGTCAAATGATACAGGAGCCAATGTGAAGGAGTTCTCATTGCCAAAGATGGGACAATCTGAGCAACAAAGAGAATAATGATTGCAACAAATTAAAAGACAAATATAAAGTTTAAAAACAAAAAAATCAATCATCAGCTTTGGAGGCTCCAAGGACACCAGCACTTTAAAACACGTAATTAAAAGGAGAAAAAGCAAGCACTTATCTTTTCCTGTGAAGTTATTTCATATTAACTGAAACAGAAAGCCAGAGAATACAATGTAGGGTATGAAACACAGAGAATACAAAATAATCAAAATAACAGGTGTCTATGTAAAAAAACACATGGATACAAATGGAGAGAGAGAGAACTAGAAGCATGGCCAAGTGACAAGTCACCTCTGAGGGGTGGACAAAATGACAATTTCATATTTTGCTCTGTACACTATTGTATTCCTTGAATCTTTAGTAATTTAGAATATATTCATGTTTTATTTGTGTAATAATGGAGGGGGAAAAAGACCACCCTGTGAAAAGAAATGGCAACTGCCATAAGCACTTGAAAAAAACAGCACATAAATAACTTCTGAGGTAGAATAAACAGTAAAGTTGTAAATGTTGAGTTTTTAAAAATAGATTTGAAGAATTTTTATTGCAAAATTATGAATGTGAGGCAGCTTTACTTTTGGATGGAGTACTTTATATATACCAAGAATAAACTGTCTTCACTTTGTATATATAAAGAAGAAACTGAAGTGTTTACAATATAAAAAAATGTTTGGCAAGAAGGTAAAAATATCATCATTTAGAAAGAATAGAACATTCCTTTTGCAGGCAAGGGAGCTGTTTCCTTCACATGTTTGTTGTAGGTCTCAGGAGCTAATTTTTGCAGACTATCACCATGGAAGGTCAAAACGTATTAGAAAGGATAGAAGTGAAGTTTGAATTACACCAGATTCTTCTAACAGATTACCTATGAATATCATACTATAGAGAATAAGTAGAAAACGAAAGCAGTTTTAATACAGCTAGTATTTAAACGATGAAAAGAGTTACACTTTCTATTTCTTAATCTAGATTATAGTTACATGAATGCTGGCGGTCACAAACCGTTGAGCAATCTATCTTTGTTTTGTGCATGTTTCTGTAGTACATTGTAATCCGCAACAAATTAAGTGTGTGTCTCAGAGGTACTGTTTTAAAATAAACAAAGTAAAACTGCTCTTCAACAAATACCCCCAAATAATTAAGTCAACCCATTTCAAGGGCTAAAATTACATCATGAAAAAGAACGAGCACATTAAAAATTCCAGTAGGGAAACAAATTATCTTCTCAGAAATCCACAATCCAAAATAGGGGTTTTTCATATATAATAGGACCAAATTTGATATATCATTCCGTTCCATGTGTTCATGGGTTTTTCATATATCATAGGACCAAATTTGATATATCATTCCATTCCATGTGTTCCTTTTTCAAATAAACTGAGTCCATACTGTTACAAATTATTTAACACATTTAAGTAGTGGTCCAAGTCAGAGGGCAAAATGAAGAGGGGGGGGGGCCACAGAAAATGATAGCTTGCCTTTTCTTTTGAAAAAGAAGGATTAGGGTTATCACAACCACACTATTTTTAGCACTACAGAAGGTAGGAAGTATACAAACTGGGTTAAAAAGTATCCTTTCCTCCAATGATTCCTCTGGATTCCAGCCTCACAAGAGGCCACCCTCCCGCTACAGAGCTCCTCACTCTACTGGGCTCAAACACAGAGCAAGAAATTGGAGAGAGGCGCCCAACAAAACAGATAGAGGGGATTAAGAAGAAAATGGTAATAAACCTGAGACTGCTTATCCCTAAAGCAAATTTTAAGATAAAATTAAAACTTTTTTTCCCTTTTAAAAAAACAATAGCAAAAGGGTATTTGCATAGGAAAAAAGTTTGTGAGGCTGCCACCCACCTCTCTCCCCTGGACTGCCCCGTACCTCGTGCCTTCTTCCAGCTGTTCTCTCCCCTGTATCCTCAGTCCGGGTTAGGGGTCTAACTCCATCCGCAGAGCACTCCTCTACACTGCCATGCCCACCTCAGTGGCTAGCACAGTAAGGGCTTCAGAGATATTTTTTTCTGAATGAAAGTTTATATAGTCTTCTATGGGAATATTTAAATGCTGAGACTCACGTGAAAACAAAAATTCAGTGTTTTTCTTGAAGTTTGCATAAAATTAGAATTTAAGCATGAAATAGTTTTTCAAAAGGAAGAAAAAGTGAGGGAAGGGGGAGAATTAGCACTCGAATACAGGCTATAATCCACAAATTAAGGACTAAATGCCTAAAACGTAAGTTTTTAAATTTCAAACATTTACTAACAACTTCAGTATCACGTGCCAGAATTTGATCATTTAAGCCAGTTTTAAGAATTACATTGAAAAGTGTGTAGTTCAATGCAACCAACAATTGAAATGTAAATTTTATACCGTCTTTTTTTAAATTCTTTTTTATTGCAGTAACGTTGGATTATAACATTATATAACTTTCAGGTGTGCATTGTAATATACTTTGAATTCTGTGTAGATTACATCATGTTCACCACCCAAAGACTAATTATAATCCATCACCACACATGTGGGCCTAATCACCTTTCGTCCTCCTCCCTCTCCCCTTCCCCTCTGGTAACCACCAATCTAATCTCTGTTGCTATGAGTTTATTTGTTGTTGTTTTTGTTTGGTTTTGTTTTTTATTCTTTTTTTGAGGAAGATTAGCCCTGAGCTAACTGCTACCAATCCTCTTCTTTTTGCTGAGGAAGGCTGGCCCTCAGCTAACATCCGTGCCCATTTTCCTCTACTTTTTATATGTGGGATGCCTACCACAGCATGGCGTGCCAAGTGGTGCCATGTCCACACACGGGATCCGAACCGGTGAACCCTGGGCCGCCAAAGCAGAACGTGCACACTTAACCGCTGCCAAGCCGGCCGCTATTTGTTGTTGCTTTGATTTTCCACTTATGAGTGAGATCATATGGTGTTTGACTTTCTCCCTCTGACTTATTTCACTTAGCATAATACCCTCAAGGTCCATCCAGGTTAAAAATGGCCAGATTTCATCACTTCTTACGGCTGAGTAGTACTACATTGTGTATACATATCACATCTTCTTTATCCATTCGTCCTTTGATGAGCACCTAGGTTGCTTCCAAGTCTCGGCTATTGTGTATAAAGCTGCAATGAACATAGGGGTGCCTATGCCTTTGTGTTTTCAAGTTCTTTGGATAAATACCCAGCAGTGGAATAGCTGGATCATATGGTAGATCTATCCTTAATTTTCTGAGGATACTCCAAACTGCTTTCCATAGTGGCTGCGTCAGTTTGCACTCCCACCAGCGGCGTACAAGGGTTCCCTTCTCTCCACACCCTCTCCCACATTTGTTGTCTCCTGTCTTGTTAATTACAGCCATTCTGACCTGAGTGAGGTGATACCTCATTGTAGTTTTGATTTGCATTTCCCTCACAGCTAATAATGCTGAACATCTTTTCATGTGCCTGTTGGCCATCTGTATATCTTCTCTGGAGAAATCTCTGTTCAGATCTTTTGCTTACTTTTTAATTGGGTTGTTGGTTTTTCTGCTATTGAGACATATGAGTTCTTTGTATGTTTTGGATATTAACCCCTTATCTGATACATGGTTTGCAAATATCTTCTCCTAATTGTTAGGTTGCCTTTTCGTTTTGTTGATGGTTTCCTTTGCTGTGCAGCTTTTCAGTTTGATGTAGTCCCGTTTATTTTTTCTTTTGTTTTCCTCGCCCGGTCAGACATGGTACTTGAAAATATGCTGCTAAGACCAATGTCAAAGAGCATACTGCCTATGTTTTCTTCTAGAAGTTTCATGGTTTCAGGTCTTATATTCAAGTCTTTAATCCATTTTGAGTTGATTTTTGTGCATGGTGTAAGGAAATGGTCTACTTTCATTCTTTTGCATGTGGCTGTCCAGTTTTCCCAACAACATTTATCAAAGTAATTCTCCTTTCTCCACTGTGTGCTCTTGACTCGCTTGTCAAAAATCAAGCTGTCCATAAATACGTGGGTTTATTTCTGGGCTCTCGATTCTGTTCCAATGATCTGTGTGTCTGTTTTTGTGCCAGTACCAGGCTGTTTTGGTTACCATAGCTTTGTAGTATATTTTGAAATCAGGGAGTATGATACTTCCAGTTTTGTTCTTTTTCCTCAGGATTCCTTTGGCTATTCGGAGTCTTTTGTTGTTTCATATAAATTTTGGGATTCTTTGTTCTATTTCTGTGAAAAATGCTGTTGGAGCTTTGATAGGGATTGCATTGAATCTACAGATTGCTTTAGGAAGTATGGACATTTTAACTACGTTAATTCTTTCAATCCAAGAGCACGCAATATCTTTCCATTTCTTTGTGTCTTCTTCAACTTCTTTCAACAATGTTTTATAGTTTTCAGTGTACAGATCTTTCAGCTCTTTGGTTAAGTTTATTCCTAGGTATTTCATTCTTTTTGTTGCAACTGTAAATGGGATTGTATTCTTAATTTCTCTTTTTGCTACTTCATTGTTAGTGTAGAGAAACAACTGATTTTTGTATGTTGATTTTGTATCCTGTGACTTGAGTGTGTTCATTTATTATTTCTAAAAGTTTTTTAGTGGATTCTTTAGGGTTTTCTATATATAAAATCATGTCGTCTGCAAATAGTGATAGTTTCACTTCTTCTTTTCCTATTTGGATCTCTTTTATTTCTTTTGCTTGCCTGATTGCTCTGCCTAGGACTTCCAACACTACGTTAAATAAGAGTGGTGACAGTGGGCATCCTTGTCTGGTTCCTGTCCAAGTCTTATCTTACTTATTCCATCAAGATGTAAGAAAAAGCAACCAATGATAATAAACAAACACAAATTCAAAAAGACAAATGAGAGCCAGCCCTGGTGGCCTAATGGTTAAGTTCAGTGTACTCCACTTCGGAGGCCCAGGTTCAGTTCCTGGGCGCAGACCTACACCACTCGTCTGTTAGTGACCGCTGTTGCAGCAGCTCACATACAAAAACAGGAAGACAGGCAGCAGACGTTAGCTCAGGGCGAATCTTCCTCAGCAGGTGTGGGGAAAAAAGACAAATGAATTAACTTATTCATTGCTGCCTATGTTAGGTGAAGAAAAAATTCCCATGAGAAAAAGAGAACAATAAATCTAGATCAAATATCTATGAAGTAAAAAAAAAAAAAAAAAAGAAAGCACTGTTCCTCTCTACCCAAATACCCTAAAAGAGACCGCAAAGTTCCCAGATGTACAAATTGGGATAAACATACTAGAGCATTGTTTGATAATACAGATCAAAAATTTCAGAAATCTCAATCACTTTTAACCCTGAATACAAATTCAGCCTAAGGAAACAATTAAGAACATGAACAAAGATTAACGTACAGAGATGACCAACGAGGTATTATTTTATAACATGGAAAACTGAAGTCTATTCACATGTCTAGCAATAGATTGGTTGAGTAAATTCTAGTATATGCATTCAATGTCGTCATCTGTAGGTGATAAAATGTAGAAAAATGTATGTCATATAGAACTGAGTCAAAACTATATTATAGGGGCCGGCCCTGTGGCGGAGTGGTTAAGTTCATGCACTCTGCTTCAGCGGGCCAGGGTTTCGCCGGTTTGGATCCTGGGCATGGGCATGGCACTGCTCCTCAGGCCATGGTGAGGAGGCATCCCACAAAGCACAACCGGAGGCACTCACAACTAGAATATACAACTAGGTACTGGGGGGCTTTGGGGAGAAGAAGAAGGAAAAAATAAAAATATATAAAAAAAAGAAGATTGGCAACAGTTGTTAGCTCAGGTGCCAATCTTTAAAAAAAAAACAACTATATTATAATATGATCATATTTTAAACAGAAATTGTTCAGCAATGAATTTGTCTATCAATAACCATTTTTCTGGAAAAAGATTTATACACATGAACATGTCAATGGTTACCTATTTAAGAGAAGTGTGATAAAAAAAATCTACCAGAGGATTTAAAAAGAAAAGAATAGCTTCTCCTCAAAAAATCCTATTAAATTCTGTGGCTCTGATGAAGATTCTCACCTTCTCACTATTGCAGTAAGAATGTCAGAAATTATGAAGATTGTACGTATCTAGTGATACGGTATAATAATCCTGTGATAAAGTTCATCTGACAATCCCTGGAGCTTCCTCAAAGCCTGATCCTCCTCTCCTGCCACCACCTTCAACAGAATAAACGTCTCAAAATGAAAAGAGAAGGAACAGTCAGCTCACTTACTATATATTTTCAGCAGATTGTAGTATAGCTGGTCTCTATCACATTCAAATAGCTTCTGCGTCAGCTCCACTAATTTTTCTAGAGTTTCAACCTTAAAAATAAGATTAACAGATGGATCTAGATATACATTTTATAGCCGACAAATCTTAGTTGATAACCCTTCAAATTAGGTTTACTTTCAAAGGGCAAATTAATTTCACTTCAAAAGTTAAAGGGCTGAGCATAACAATGTGAATGTACTTAATGCCACTGAACTATACACTTAAAAATAGTTAAAATGATAAACTTTATATGTGTTTTACCACAATTAAAAAAAATTTTATTTTAAGCTAAAGGGCTAAAGGACTCTTTGGAGGCAAGAACCCAACATAAACAATTATCTAATTGAGGGAACCTCAACGAAGGTATATTTTGGAGAACTGAAAGATATTTGGGGTGGAAGACTGGGTGAATATATCCTATGCTTATTAATAAGAATACCACTCCACCAAAACCTTATACTTCCATTCCCCTGTGGCTTTTACTTGGCAGGATGTGAAAAGATATCTGCACACGGGGGTGGGGGTGGTGGTAAAGTAGAAAGTCCACTGGGCTCCCACCAAGCAACTCCTCGGGTCGATAAGGACTGAAGCAGATTTAAACTGCCAAGGACACAAGGTTAGCCTGCTTAAACCAACAATGAGGAAAGAGCAAGCTGAAATTCTTCAGGGCTCAAGTTAAAATTTTTATAGATTCTACTGCACCTCAGGAACAAAAATTAAGCTATTGCTTATATTTGGAAAACAAACGAGATAACACTGCTTAATAATGCTGTCTATCTCCTGAAATCCCCAAATGCTCACGTGACATGTAGGACATTAGCTTTCTACTCACAGTTTGAGATGCTTGAGACCAGAAATTAAACACAAACCTGATTACTTGAAATACACCTATCACAAAACCACTGAAGTCTTGTAGGCCGAGCTCTAATGCCTGGAGTCTGTAAAACAAAATAACCACACAGCACACAGGTTAGGGCTTTAGCTAAGTGCTGACTTTCCCTCCAAGACAGTTTTCTTCTGATGAATTTGCTGCCTCCTTCCCAAACATATACACTAAAAGAAACCTATAACTTAATCCCACAGTTATCAAAGCCCTATGGGATAGATCAGAGCGTGAAACGTGACCTACACTTAACCTATGTCTAGAAGACTTGGGTTATTTCAAAATGCTCTCTTGAAGGTCAATTTTCATTCCATAAATTTTTATTATTAAAATAGCTAAGATTTCTTTAGTTCAAAAAGAAACCTTGAAATGATGAAATAAACCCCAAAATTTGTCAAATTAAATGCACACACCCACTTCAGAGATCCTAACAGATTCAGTGAACAAAAATTATTTATATGTTACATAGACTTATTAACAACTGTCACAACAATAAACCTATGGCTTTTATTTTTTAAAAGAAACATGCTTTGTAAAATTTAGTGATGAAAGTATTCTAACTACCACAAATGCTTGCCTAATATCTAAAACCAAATGTTTAAAGAGCTAAGTACTTAAAACAAGCTGAGTATGCAAAATTAGTTCATAGTCTTAGTTTATTTCAATAATTGAGACGGATGTTATATGCTTAATTAAAAATTACTAAGGTTTAGGGGCTGGCCCTGTGGCCGAGTGGTTAAGTTCGCGCGCTCTGCTGCAGGCAGCCCAGTGTTTCGTTGGTTCGAATCCTGGGCGCGGATATGGCACCGCTCATCAGGCCACGCTGGGGCAGCGTCCCACATGCCACAACTAGAAGGACCCACAATGAATAATGTACAACTGTGTACCGGGGGGCTTTGGGGAGAAAAAGGAGAAAAAAAAAATCTTAAAAGAAAAAAAGAAATTACTAAGGTTTAGTCAAGAACTCTGGCTTCAAAGTAATTATTTTACCATTTTGGGTACTGGAATAAAAGACAAACCATTTTCCACATAATTCCAAGGATTTGTCATTCTAACTACAGTATTTTCATCATCTGTAAGAGGGCTTCACCATTAAATACTACATTTCAATCACAGCATTATGATGAGAAAACTACATACTCATTAGCCCTGGCTGCTCCAGTCTAGAGGAGGTATCTTTACTCCTTTCTCCACTCAGTTTTGTTGACTAAACCAGGTACCCCTTGAATCTGATCTCTTATTTATAAACCCTCATTATTTTTTATTTCCTAAAATAATATTGCACAATGTTAAATTAAGAACTGAAGCAGAACCTAATATCTCAGAGCTTTGGTAGAATGACAGGAAAATCAGTACAGTAGAAGTTAAGTATTCTCATTCTAACTGCAAGTATCCACATTTTGTGATACAAGAAATAAATGTCAAATAAATTAATTGTTGGAATATATTCTCAAATATCATTAATATTTACATTTGCACACAACTTCTACTCAAGGATTTTCTCACATTATCTATTTTGTTTCACATGCATTACATTGAAAATGAAACCAACATCAAATGTATACAAAAATCCCTTGAAAAAATACTAGCTAATCCTCTTTAGAACACAGCAAAATGTAAGGGCTACAATTCACTTACAACTTTCCATATTATTGCTGATCCAAATGCCAACGATCTAAATAGCACAACTTTTATGACAAACTCTTCTTTTTTGTGGCTGCTTAATCTGCCTGTCACTGACAGGACAGCTGACTATATTATATGGCAGATATTCCTATGTTTCATTTTGAAATTGAGAACTGTTTTCACATATAAACCTCAATCATCAAAAGAACATCTAGGTCAGATTAACTAAATCTCCTGGGCTTCTGTAATAGTCTACATTTCTGGCTTATCTCTTAACATCTTATTGAATTTTAAACACTGCAAGTTGAAAGCAAAAATAGAAAATGTAATAAAAACATGGAGAAGAATAGAATTCTAATTGGGATGTTGAATACAACTATCAAAAACCAGTTAATGATTAATTAAAACAATGAACTCGACTCTAGTTTTTTTCTGTTTTTGCTACATACAATCTATTTAATGGACAGTTGAGGATAAAATAATTATTTTAATAAAAATCCTGGTATGTTTGTTTCCACTTGGGTTACTGTGCAGTTCCAATTTAGTATTAGGTTCACTTGTATAAGAAAAAAAAGTAATCCAAAATCAAAAACAATTTCCATAACTTTAATTTCATTATATTACTCTGATGTAAATTTGCTATTATCATGTTTCTATGTATACTAGTAAAAATAGATATCAAGTAATTATTACCTTTAAAGTGAAAATAAATGAAGATTCTTCTACTTCAAACTATTTCAAGAAAAACCATCTTACATTTAACTCAAATAGAAACGTTTACCTGTTTTTATTTTTCTTTCCATTACTGCAGGAAATGGGAAACGGACAAGAAACACACAAACCACCAGCGTAGCTTCATGTCCTCTAGTCAGTGTGCAGGGAGGACAATCAGGTACACGATGGGACGGAACTAACAAAAACAAGAACCCAACTATTTATCCCATAGCTAGGAGAGCAAGGGAGGGAAAAGGGCCTCATGGAACTTATTAAACCTTCAATATCTATCCTCGTCTCTAAAATCTTCAGAGAGAGACTTAAAGACCATGTCAAGGAGGAAAACATGACTGAGCAAGCCAACCTAACAGTCAATCATAAACTAAACACGATCCACTTAACCAGGAGTTACAGGAGATACTAAGTATATTAACTCACAGGAGAGGGGATGTGAACCGGCATGAGAACTGCTATCGCGTGAAACCAAGGAGGTCAGGGGAAAAAAAAAAAACTAGCTCTAAAATCCCTTTTGTATATATAAGATCCACTCTGGCTTATTAAGGAAGGCAAATTAGGATAAAACCCTGAATTTGATCTAGTGAGGAAGAAAGGGAAGAGTAACAAATATTGGCAGATTGCTGTAATCTAAACTTTCAGTCCTAAACACAAAGCCATAAAAAGAAGGGTTTCGCCCCCCGAGAAGACAGCAAATTTATTCTGGCTGCAGTGCCACTGAAGGATAACAGTAGATAAGAAGAGAGGGGAAAAAGTCAAGAAAGCAATTTTGGAGAAAGGGTAAGTTGTTTCAGTGATTCAGATATTGAGGAGTCAAGAGATCACGGAGGTCATACTGCAATATAAAAATGTATCGAATCAACACATTGTACACCTTAAACTTATGCAATATGTCAATCTTATCTAAATTTTTTAAAAAAGAGAGAGAGAGAGATCATGGAGGTAGGAATGGTGTAGAGGAACCAACAGAAAATGTGAAATCAGGCCCAATTTCAAATTCCATGACCACTACACTAAGGAAACAAGCTCCACACACTTGACCCAAGTATCTCTGCCCTGGTGACTTCTCCACCTTGCTCTGTGAGGCTCCTATGAAGACGTCCATGAAAATCACAGGAGGGTATAAGGGTACCAGTATCAGTTATACTGTTTAGCTTGTAATCTGGGCCTGAACCTCAAGGGAAGAGGTTAGAATAAGAAATGCTGACTAAGTTCAAATTAGACTCTTACTCATCTTTGTTTTAGCACCCTGAGGACTTACCAGTCCCTGGCACACGGCAGGCACTCGGGAAGTGATTACTGAACTGCTCAAAGTGCTATGAATAAAATTAAATAATATATTTCTTTATGGAAACCTTTAATATGGTTAACATTTCAGATCATTATTTAACTCTTCATACTTCTATGTATCATCTCTCCCCAGACTTAATGTCCAGTCTTAAAACACAAAATAAATTATCCAAACAGCATTAATTTAAATGACCTGCAACACTTCCTTCCTGGGAGGTGACTGAAGTAGCTTAAGAGATAATTAACTCAAACAATGAAGCCATTTTTTTGTTTACAAAGAAATGCCATCTTATTTTATTATAATTTCTAGCAAAAGGAGTGTGGGACTAGAAGTCATGAGGCCTGCGTTTTAGTCCAAATCTCTGCTACTGTGAACCATAAAAGAGGTGGTACCTGTAAAGACATAACAAAATTTCTGTCTTTACATATTAGGGGACTTAAAAAACAGTAATGACACTTGACTCACTTCTAAGACATGATTTTAAGTAAATAATCTGAAAACCAAATACGACTACAGGTAAAGAATTACGATGACTACTTATAACAGTGAAAATTTTTCTCAAAGCAGAAATGGGCAAATAAACTTTAGCTCTATTATACAACGGAATGATGTGGCCATTAAAAATAATGCTTAGAAGAGTTCTTAATTGCACGCAGGGAAATGCAGAGACAGTGATGTAAGAAGGTATTAAATAAGCTATATGATTCACTTCAATTATATATAAAAGAAATATGCTTTGAATAAAAGGACAGAAAAACCACAAAGATGACTAGATAAGTAATGGGATTAATAGTGAGTCTTTCTACTTGGCATATTTTAAACAATAACCTGTGTAAGTTTCACGTAAGTCTATTCACAGGGGAAAAAAAATCAGACTGATCCTTATCACTGGTAAGATACAAAACACACTTCACAAAACATATTTACCTGATATTACTACATAAGTTTGTAAAAATAATTTGTGACCATTTCCCCAGTGGCATATTTCATTTCAGGTTGTGCCAGAGGAATGCTGGAAGGAACTAAGGATAGTTAGCCTGTAGAGGATGAGACTGCAGAAGAGACAAAGAGCTGACTTCAACACAGGAAAGAATGTCACACAGAAGGAAGAGAATAAAACTAACATTTATTACGTGTTTAATAATGTACCAGACACTCTAGATGAGGTCTTATTAGGGTTATCTGATAGAGTCCTAAGAGACAGAACAAGCATAAACGACGGTAGCACTTTCCTGCCTCAGGACCTTTGCACAGGCAATTCCCTCTACCTGAAATGCTTTTGCCTCCATCTGTATATGGCTGACTTCCACTTCATCCTTTACTTCTCATCCCAACCATCACTTCCTCACAAAGATCTAGTCTAAAATAGGTCCTTTTTACAGCACTTCTCTCTTACAGCAATTACTGCA